GGAAGACAGGAGGCTCTCCTTTACTGTGCGGGTGACGGAGCACCGGCAGGGACTGCCCAGAGAGGCTGGGGGGTCTCTCCCCTGGGAGACATTCGGAAGCTGCCTGGACATGGTCCTGGGCAGCTTGCTCTGGGTGGCCCAGCTTGAGCAGGGGACTTGGACCAGGTTGGCTTGGACATACAATTCTGCCACAACGTAATGGTGTAATACGGTTCGTCCTCAAAAGCAACTTGAAAGTGGAATTTCTCACTATTCCCATATTTCAATGCCGTGTGAGTGACCAGCAGTACACAAGCATGACCACAGCAATTTCTATGCAGATGAGAGTCACTTTACAAGTCTTCTCACTGGACAATTTCTTTAACCTTTGAAATGCAAGCATCAACACAGAATCCACTCCTATAATGTTCCTTCTGAACAAGTTTCCTGACCCTATGTATACACACACAAAACAAAAAAAGTTCCCTTGGTAAGTGTCCTGGAAAGGCAGCTACACTTCTCAGAACATTCAACAGATGGAAAATGATGTCACGTTCTCTGCCAGCATTTGCCAGATATATGCTGTTCCTGGAACATTAAGTAGTTGACTTCATTAAGTACTAGGAGATCACTGGTTTTCACACCCAAGCGTAGCCTGACTAACAGGAAAGAAGACAACCAACACTCTGGAAATACTTTGATGGTACAATGCCAGTGACAAAAAATCAAGGACAGGACTCCCTTAAAGCTATAACAATACGGAATGGTTCTATTTGCATCCTCTATTAAGGATTTTAGGAACTCTATTTTCAAATATTTGCTTATTTTAAAGTGACTACGACCACAAAATATTATATCAGGTTCAGAAAACAAACAAACAAACCAAAAAAACCACACCACAACAATTATTTGGGCAGTCTTGTACAAGACAGACCTTACAGAATATTTCTTTAACAGTGGATTAGAAAAACCTCTATCCAGACAAGACAACAAGGGAAGCACCAAAACTGGCTCAGAGATCTGTGGTTTCTTATCCTAAGTACTTTTCAGTTTAGCTGGATCAATGACTGTTTCACCATTTTGTATTGGCAGATATGACTGCAGAACGATTATTTAAATACCTAAACCAGTATTGTACCCACCTTTGCATCACCACATTCCAAGTTATTACTACAGTGCTAGTTCACAGAAACAAAGAATCAGAACTTAGTAATACCGTTTGCCTGTTTAAAGACCATTCATACAAGGAATTGTTCCGAAAGGTTTCAATTTAGCTTACTTAGCTGCATAAATCCACAGCAATAGAATGTTCACAATATAAGCCCAGAAGAAAAGAAATCACTATCAGCTGTTTCCCTCTAACAAATCTAAGTTTCTTAGGTACACATTTCAAGGACAGGCCTTGTTTAAAGAGCTCCATTTATGTGAAGTCTGTTTCCTGCTAACCAGCTGACAGGTCAAAAGTACTTCTCAGTCCTAGCATTTGCTCCCATTTTTCCCTCTTTTTCAACGTGGCCAAAAATTTAAACATTTACAATTTATTTTAAAATTGATCCTTTCATCCTTTTCAGTCTTCTGTTCCTTACATTTTATGTTCCACAAAGTTTTCCTTTGACACCTCCCACATACTGCAATCTATGCCGTTGCAGCCCTTGGGTTACTTAGCTACATTAAATTAAGCACAGGTATAAGTCACAGTGAAATTAGCAAATACTAAGACCTAAGCTTTAGAGAGCCTGAACCTTTTAAGTGCTTTGTAAAATATACACTATTGTATATATTATTGGGCACATACAATGAGACAATTTAATATCTAAAAGATGCATTAATGTATCAACCTGGCACATTTTATGAATTCAGTATTATTTTATGTACATCCATTTTTGCAGTTGCTGAGTTTTTGTTGCTACCACACACTGGAAGTCTATTCCCATCAAGTCGTTATCTCAATGCTATGAAAAAAAAACAAACCAAACCAAAAAAAAACACTTCAATAAAGATTAAATCAGAAATATACTGTCATACAGTTGGAACAGCTACAACGTAATGTGCTTAGGTAAAAAATTTGCCAATACTTGACTTTGTAAAATGTAGTCACCCGTACTCTGTTACCTTGGAAGCAATGATCATAAAATTGACCATAGTTTAGTTTCAGAACTTTCTTACACTGTAACTTGATTATCTGCCTTTCAGTCCAATATACAAATCAAACACCTGGAATAATGCAGCTGAGTAAAGAGACATGCTAGGAATAGATTTGCTTCAACTGTGTTCATTTTTTTTTTTCTTTCAGAAGTTAAACATAATGAACTCCCCAAAGAGACTACTTTCTGCTTGTTTTCATGAATATGAAAGGAACACATTTCAGAAAATACTGTACATTTTTCACTTTGTCTTTACATTCTATATCAGGACCAGGACTTTATTGCCAGAGTGAATCAGCACACTTGGTGCCAAAATGCTTTTATGTGTCAAGAAGTAACAAACTAAGAAGAAGTACAAATTTTCTTTGTACTCATTTCCTACATTAGTAGGGAATGAAAACAAGCCTTCAGTTCATCAGTGTACTACTCACTATCATTTATCGTATCAAAATGCATTTCTTTCCTTTCTGAATTAATTAGTTGCAACCTCTTCCTCCCTCCAAATTTTTCATGCCTGTAAGTAATTTTCACCTTCATTCTGGTTACTATAGAGTATTATAGAAACGCCAACTTTCTCCAGCATAACATTATCCACATAAAAGCTAATGAAATGCACCTCTGTTCATTTCCCCCAGCTGACATAAATCTTTGATGCATGGGTCTTTGAGAAGTTACTTGGACTACTGCTCTGATCCAAAGAAATTGTAACTTTGCTCGGTTAGTCAACTAGTTTTATTTTTCAAGACGTAATTCATTCATAAAGCCACTTTTCTTCTTCATTTTTTCCATTATTTGCAGGATTCCTTCTCCTTAAAAAAACGTTATTTACAAAAACACCTGTCTGTCATGTCAGGTCTGACACTTTCAACAGCAATATGACAACAGAAACCAGCATCCCCAAAATGAAGAACTGTCTTTTTAGGGACAGTTTATCTTTCTGTCTTGCATTATAATGTTTTACATTTCATAATCTGCATCAAGTACTATAAGGAGAAAACTGGTAAGATCTTTGAAAGCTACTGTTCGTTTGGGGATTTCCTATAATCAAAGTTTTTCTGTTACAGTGGTTCCAGAAGAGTTAAGTAATGCAACACTTCTACTTTGGGCACAATTTATTGCAGACCTGAAAGAACAACAGGACACATCTCTTAGGCTAACAGTGGTATTGTTATGACACTCTGCACAGCACAAAACAAATTAATCTAGAACCCATACTAGAAATTATGCTGGTACAGAATAACAGGAGATCACATTCTAAGAAGCAGTAGTAACCTTTCAATGATGTATACCTCTAAATTTATTTCTTTGTTGTTCAGAAACAACAAGCCAAATAAACATTGATTTGCATCTTATGATGCAAAGTTTCTTGTAAGTCAAAAACATCACCTGTGTATTACGTCCCCAGCAAATGTAACTTCAGAAAGTTTACCAAGATAAAGTTAAAACTCTGAAAATAAAATATGTGTTTGTGTGTCAGTCATGTTTTTCTTCTAACAGATGGGTAATGTTTCATAGTAAAAAAAACGTGTTTGCATTGAATGTATTAAGATTAATTATTAATAAGGAAGCAAGTATATTTCCATAAGGATAGAGCTTCAGGACTCAGTTGCAAAATTAACAGCTCAGTTTGCACAGTGATTGAAATTAAAATATGTTTAAAACTAAGTTTAGGGCAGCTGTTAACGGTGTTGTATTACTCACAATGCCATACTTGCATTATCTGTTCAGAACTGCCTATATTACAGTGTAACTGTATAATTTATAATGACATTACTTCCAATAAGCAAAGCTGTATGCAGCTATTACAGAAGGAGGGAAAATATGACATTATAAAAGAAATCTGCTGAATACATATCTTTTCAAGAAACAAATTTAAGACAGTTCTGCCTCTAATAGGGCTGGACACTTTTTCTGATCTGCTTGATCAGCACGTAGTTGTGGCATGAAGTTCAGTAGGACATGAACTCCACTGACCGAGTAGCTCCCCAAAGAGTCAGCACGATAAAAACATCTTCCAAAATCAGGCATACTATCTGTCAGAAGGTTGAAAAAGAAGCTGCAACAGAAATCTTTTGTTTACTCATACAAAAGGCAAAAATGAAGTGGCAGAAGAAAGTACTTTCCCTACTATCATTCTTTTAATTTATAAACCACAAGTACATTTGGAATATAAAGTTCCCAAGGGTAACTAAAGCAGAAGCTCTAAAACCCGCTAGCGACGTGCAAAAGTCCAGGACACAGGGTATGCTAAGGCTCTACTCCTGCTGATGAGACTAAGGACCAGAACTGTAAAGGGGAACTAATTGGAACTGGATTCACCCCAGACAGTTTGCACTGGGTATAGTACTTCCAAACATCCCATCCAAGAGGCTAACCACAAGAAATACTAGAGCAGAAAAGGACTGCAGCTATTGTTGCACACGTATGTTGCACTGAAATTTAGAAAACTGGTTGCTTTCTTGTACAACACTGCTAGCAACACAATGCTTTTTTGTATGGGGATAAACACCTCTTTCAAATTGTTTATGTTTCTTCTTCTATTTTCTCCCTTACAAATGAAGAAGATATTTCATTAATTTTCATGTTGGCACTATTAACATCCCAATGAGCAACACTGCAAATCCCTCAAAATACCATTCTATATATATATTTCCCAAGTAATACTGCAACACGCTAGGAGGAAGTAAAGTAATACTGATCTCCTGCACAACATGCCAAATAAGCAGATTGAGTTTGCTTAGGAAGTGCTGATAAGTAAGAACTGCTCAACAGAAAACCTATTTGAGTTCACACTTACCCAAATGACAATCTAAAATTATAAAGAGAATAAAAGGGAAGAATGTTATTTGTTTATTTATTTATTTATACCATGTTAGAAAAACTTGCCTTTTTTCTATTTCGCACAGAAATATAACTCTACAGTTTGTGACCAAGAGTAGGGACAAAGTCTGGGACAAAATTCAAATGCTTTTATAAAAAGAAAGGGTTTTTGGACTTTTGATCCTGCAAACTCTGTTTCAGAATGGGAAATAATTATATTTCTAGCTCAGTGAGGAATGATTTTTTTCAGCTGGAACCTATTTTCTATCGTCAGACTTGCCAAATAAAGCATTATCCAGCTGATCTGTATGTGGTCTCTGTAGGAAAAAGCCTATCTGTAAGTGCACTTTTTACAGTCACTCTGCAAATCTGATTCATATCCGATATGTGTTAGTACATTTCAGACATTCAGATGACAACACAGTAGAGATATCACAAACATCTGAATTCCTCTTAAAAATAATGCAGAAATGTCAGTGTTGAGCAATACACATACTCTCGGTGGGCAAAGAAATAAAAACGAGTACTTGAACCCAAGATTCTCCAGTTCCTGAACTGTTATCTCCAAGAGAGTAAACCTCTAGAGTACATCTCCACATGACACATTTATCTAAAGTGGCTGCACACATATAACAATGGCTTTTGTTTTGTGATCATGTTCATTTTGAGTTTTTTAAATACTGCAGCCCAATGCATATACACTAATCCCAGAATGTTCTGAAATGTTTCAGAGCTTTTAGCAGGAGGAACCTCTTGCATAGGCTTTGTAGATGAAGCTGACCACAGTTCACTGGAACCAGCCAGTTCAGATAAGTGAGATGAAAGCAGACATTTCCTGAAAATATCTTGAAAGCTTTCCATTAGACAGTACCAGGGGTATACACAAAAAAAAAAAAAAAGTGCCCATGCTTGTATAGCAACCAATTTTCCCACTGCTTTCTCCGTTCTTTCTTGACTACTGTATGTGTACCTATTATCTGCTTCAATTTATTATCTTGTAAAATTCTTTGGGGGAAAAAAGATATAATTTCTGTATTCTAGTTCACATTTCAAAGTTGTTACTATAACATAAAATTCCGTTTAACATACTAAATATTACAACAGGAAGACACAGGAATCTACTACTGCCAACTGGCAAATAAATAAGAAATCTGTTCTACAGATCATTTTTAAAGAGTTACCCACGTACCATGGTAGGTATGAATGCAATTATTTGAACATAACTCTCTGGCTGTGGAAGTATACTCTAGGAAAGTCAATGCAGCATTGCTGAGTGTGCTGGTCACAAAGACAGTAGTGCCTCAGGTTAGATTTTCAACAGAGGCTCAGACTGGCTGTTCATATTTTATACCATAGTTCGACTGAATAAATCCAGCTGTTCACTAGAAAGAAGAAATGCACCGCTGCTGGGATCTCCATCATTTTATAATTTTAGAAAGATAGTCACACTGTTTAGTTTCAGGTACTTTCCTTTAGAACAATTGGAAGCCCAGATTTTTTTAATAGTCAATAGACTCAAGGGTGTGTAAGTACTTAGAATAAGGTATTTCGAAGGCCAGCAGACTCTAAAGGGAGCCCAGGTCTTATTTAAGCACCTAAATTAGGTGTTGTTACTATCCTACACATGGATATTATAGGATATGTTGTTACATATCCTACAAAGATTTAATCCACATGCTCTTAATGAAAAGAGGATAGCACTATCATAACATAATATGAAGTATTAAGCTGTGACGACACAGTCGATTACAATGGTAATGACAATAGTGATTCTGCTCAGTAGCATACCACGAAAAGTGTCAGGGCACTCTGAAATTGCACCATGAAGTTAAGTACACTGTACGAGTCCTCGGCTATACATGAGAAGGAAGTGGTGAGCCACAATATCAATGCACAGAACGGGGTGCAAGTCCAACAGTTGCTACTTGAAACAAAACAACTCTGCCCCTTCCAAACAAACAAAAATACTTGAGGTCTTCATAGTTTCTCTTGATGTAGACCATGAAATCCCATGCTCACTCTGCCTTTTTTGGTCTGTGTTCTCAAACATCCTGCACCACAGGGTACGCGTAATATGGTCTTTTGTCCTGATGGAAAGAGGAAGTATTACCTTCTTTCACGGTCTTGCTTATTTACTTATTTATTCTGTTTAGCATTAAGAGTAAAATGGCCATCCCGTGTCTGGGACTCAATGAAGACATGTGAACATGTGTCCTGCAAAGGTTCTTCTCACCAGCTACAGAAGCTAGTAAAGAGGCACACTGACTCAGACCCCAAAGAACTCCTCAATCTAAGTGACATTACATCAGTTGCAACATGCATCATTATTCAGTGTAGCGATGGGGAACCTGCAGAGGATTTAACATATTATAATCCTTTTTATGAGCACCATCCGTAAGATAGGGTTGATTCCCTAGCTGACTATAGGAGGTGACAAAGGGCCACAATCTGAAGATCTGTTTGTGAGGAGTTTGGCCAGGTTTCTGGAAAAAGTACTCAGTAGCTTTTCTCCTAACACTTCTATCTTCCACTATATCCTCAAGTTTGATTATCATTTCCAAGTCATGAAGTATGTTGCATCCTTTCTGGAAAGGTCAAAACTGGACATTTAATCTTAGAGAAACCTAACGCTCATTCTACCCTGTCTACATTTTTCCCACAATCTCTCCTAAGAGGAGGCCAAGAGAAGTTGTTTGAAGTCTGATTATATGACCTTGCAAGAACCTTACAGTGAGTTGAAATCAAATGCAGTTTTATTTGTGATTTAACTAGAATAGTATTAGAAATTTAACTAGAATAATATTAGAGATAAAATCCACTCTAATTTGGGATCAAATATAACCCATTTGTTTAGGGGTGGGCCCTTAGAAAGCCAAGGTAAAACAAGACTCGGTTCTCTGCTTCTACAACCAAGACTGCATGCTACTTGTAGAACATTTTAAAACAATTGTAAAACAATCATTATGTATGTAAACATTTAGAGCTCATCATCTGCAGCAGAGATCAGCAACGTATTTTAACTTCTTAGCAAAAGAATCACAATTTCCTTAAATGTACAGAAACTACTTGAAAAATTCATAAGATCTGTTTCACAAATTACCAATTCAACCATAAGAATATATAGTAAAAATGACAAAAGATTTGTTCTTATAGTTGATAAAATATTTATGCCAAGGCATTCAAGTAAAGTTACTTTCTGTGTTCTGATTTAATGAATCATTTGAGCAGTATCTGGCTGGGTGACACAGATGTAAGGCTCGCTGAAGCCTACTCTAATGCCTACTGGTACAGCCTTCCTTGGGACAGTGAAGCCAGAACAATGTGTCAGACTGAAGTAATATCAAAGAAAGTAAGTGCAGTACTGGGGACGCTATGAGGTTGGCCCACAACACTTCTTGACCTCTGAATGTCTCTAAGTACTTCTGTGTCCTACTGGCTCCAGTGACCCAGGAAACCCAGAAGCAGCAGCAGCACGGTGATAAACAGTCTCTGAAATAAGATTTCTGCAATCTTGTAATTCATGCTGAAAGACATACAAGGTTTGCTTGATGGTTTAACCCTACTGAAAGGCAGGGCCTGACACTATGTGAAACCACCTGTGATTTCTTAAAAGGTGAGCTAATGTTAAATGTTTAATATGAATTTCTGAGATAACTGTTTTATACACTGCAGAGTTTGTATCTTTAACCTCAGAAAGGTACATTAATTTGGAAAACAGAAACTAAGAAACATATTTGAAGCATATGACTACAGCTTTTATAATTAATGCCTGAGCATACAAGTTCACTGAAATACACTATAATAAAATCAAACTTCCAGTGAGTAAAACCTTTGGAAAGCATTTAACCCTTGGAAAGCAAGTAGAACAAAGCTGAGGAGGACTTTAGGAACTTCAGTATCATAATCTTAAGCAATAAAACTAATCCACATAAAATAAAATACTGTGCCCCAACATTGCTTTCAGGAAGTCAGAGCTAATTAAAAAGCTTTCCCCTGCTAAACAGATTTGCTAGATTATTTAAATAAACACAAGTAGAAGCATGCCGTATCTTGGACTTTGTAATTGGACTTTAATTATGAAAATGAAATCTTCTAAGGAATTAGAAGTAAAATGAGAAAGTATAACAACTATGCTGCATCCAAATAATGCGTGTCATTATATCCTACTGTCAGACAAGGGAAGAAAGTCCGGCATTATTGAATAAAAGAAAGTGAAATACCCTCTTCCTTCCTCCCACCCTTCTTCTTTAAAAACACATATATACATATGTATATATACATACATATATATATTTAAATAACATTAAGCTTGTCCACTGTTAACTTGGTGTTCCAGATAATTCATTTAATTTGCATAAAACAATACTTCTGTTGATTCCCCCAGTCAGTTACAAGAAATATTTTCTCTCTTTTATCTGAAAATTAAATCTCATCTTAACAGGCCAGTTAAGACAGCTGTGTATAAGAATATTTGACATTAAAGGATACTTACACAGATAACAGAACGATAGCAATTAGAGTCCATTCAGGCATTTTGTGAATAATGTTTCTGTTTGTTAACCTGTAATAATTAAAAAAAAAATCAGCACATTTCAAAGTGAAAGTAAACAAATTTTAATTGCTGAATTAGAAGTCTATTTGTGAAAAGACTTAGTATGCAGAGATGTGGAAATTACAGCTCTATCTGAGCAAGGTACCAACTTTCAGGATATGTTTCTTCATATCCTGTAACGAAGGATTTGTAGAAGTCCCAATATCTGTCTTTGTTCCACGTGAAAGCTGGATGGAGAAGACTGAACAGAAGCTAGTTCTTTGAATTCACAGTCTTGGCCGCTGTGAGGGCTCAACTGTCCCTGACACCCAAAGGGATGTTCTCAGGAACCACACATACACTTTCTGTGAAGATGGGCCTTCCTACACTGTTTCACCTGTTAGTTTCAGATCCAGATTTGCTGTAAAGGCTAGTGTTGCGGAAAGAGACTGGATTTTAAGATAGTGGGGGACAGTACTCTGATGATCCTTGTTATTAAAATGAAAATCTAGAATTCTAACTAATGCAATGGGAGCCAGGGAGATAAAAGAGCAAGAAAAGGTGTGAATCAATAACCACACAGATGCTCAACAACAAGACCACTACATTTTATACCCACTGACTCACATTGTATAATTCCATAGTAAGACATTTTCTTTAACTCAAATGTTAATTTGACTTAAAACAATTAATGTGTCAATTGTTACAGCTGAATTTAGGCATGTGTTTGATATGAGCAATTTATGGAGAAGTCACATCTCAAAAAGAAGCTGTGGCTATGTAGGCATCCAAAAAAAGCTGGCAGCATTAATTTTATTCAGACAGGTGCTGCCATATAGCAGAAATACTGATGGGTAAGTGCCTCAATATGTTTGCTTCCTTCTTGCTCTCTGCGTCTCCTCTCTGTAGAGTTGCATAAATTCAGACACAGGAAGAAGCAACCCTGTCATTAACACAGGTCTACAGACACTGGTGAAGCTGGGAGGCTGCTAAAAGGTCTGTGAGTAAACCACTTTCCTAAAAATTGGTATTTCACCTGCTCCATCAGGGGCTGTTTACCAGTGTTCATTATGAGAGGGGACACAGTGAGGGCTGAGAACATCACCCACTGCAGAGGTAGGAGAATACGTTTCTATAAGATGTTCAAGGTTCAGTTTAGGAGAAGAGACATTGTTTTAGACATTTCAAAGGAAGACATGATTCCTTAAAGTTTTAAGCAAACTGTGGCAGCTGGCAGAAATACATGCTTTTCGAAGTCACATATGGAAAGCTACGTGGCAGCATTATCTGTAAAAGTTGGCAGCCTAGCCAAAGGGGCTTTATCACCAGATCCCTTACCAGCTCTGACAATTTTATCATAATATTACCAACTAAACATCATTATGGTAGCAAGACACATGCTCATGACACAGCTTATGTTAGCTCCAAAAATAAAACATAATAATAATAAAAAAAAACCCAAACATTAACTGTGCCTCTAGTTCCTTACTAGGACACGGCTGCATTCGGAGTGTCAGCACATCCCTTCTCCTGGTGGTGTATGATAAATTCAGCTTCAGAAGCAGACCAGAATGCTACTGTGTTCAAGGGATCCCAAAGCACAGAAATGACAAAGGTGATCATTTAGACATTTAGATTTCTAGAGTAGGAACTTAAGTCTTCTTTTTTTTTTTTTTTTTAATCCTTACTCCAAACACGAGTTATAAAATGAAATACTTCACAACAAATTCAATTCCAGTGTATTCTTCCCTCAGTAAGATTTGCCATTGTTAAAATTCAACTTTTAATTTTTTTTTTAAATTCTACCCAGTTATATTCAAAATAATCATTAAAAATAGTTATGAAGGTGTTTTAAAGGATCATTTCCTTTTTTCAGAAATATATTCAAAAAATATTTTTAAGAATAGTAATGAACAAAGCAATATTATCCTGTTTTCCTCCTCAAATCTCCAAGCCTTCCAACCAAAGTAAGATTTTGAAGCAACGATTACTCAAATAGTACCTTAACTGCCCTAGTTTTGTTAAATGATGAAAGGAAAAGCAGTGTATTATACTACATGTATAGGAATTATCATGTCAAACTAGAACCAATAATTTTGACAAATACAGATTATTTTTGCTACTAGAAGATGCGTGTTTATCAATTACTATTTGAAATAGCTAATGGCAGTAGCTGGCAACAAAGCTGTTTCATTTTTCTGGTTATAGAAAAAGAAAACAAACAAAGGCTGAAGGTCTTGACTCAATATTGATGACAGTGATAAACACTACCAAGAAATGCCTGATGGAATCATCTTGACAGGCAATTCATATGTAACATTCCAGTTAATCTGCTATGATAAGACACAATGGAAGAGACAGATTCAAGTCACCAGGGAAAACTGTCAAATAGAGAAAGCAGCTTTATTTCAATGCTCTACAAGGAGTTATTATTGATTAGAGCATTGGAAGGTGTCATTCTCGTACACAAACTGAGAGATGCAGCTATTTGTGTCAATTAACTCTTATTCAATGTTAGTATTGATTGGCCAGGTCTCAACACTAGTCATTGCCATCAATATGCTATTTATGAAGGAGGTAGTCCTAAGACACAGATAGCCAGCAGCATGTGGTGGTACGGATCTGCTGATGCACCTGTCACCGGACTGGATGAAGTGAGGCTTCCACAGCCTTTCAGTACAACACCTGTCCTAAAGCTCTTGTGCAACTGAAAAAAAACACAGAACAAAACAAAACAAAAAAAATAAACAGATTTTAGGCAGATCAGACTAAAGCTGGCAACCTACAAGTGCAAACCCTTAAATAATACAGAGCAGAGGAAGGGCAGTCACTTTCAAGAACAAGCTGTGTGTCAACACCAAAGCCTCTGAAGAGTAAAGCTTTCAGAAAACAGGAAAGTGCGAGTCCTCTGTAAAAATGGTTCATTAATTCTTTGTCTTGCCTCTGGCCAAAATTGTTACTTCAGAACGATCCTTGAAAGACGGGAGAAAAAGGTCACTAGATTTCTGTCATACACATACCATGGAAATGTTAAAACACTGCAAAAGTTTGGGTACATGATTTGGGTTTTGCAGTGAAACATTTTCTATTAGGGGTTGGCTAAATTTTCCCACAGCTACACGAAGAAAGAAAACAATATACAACTTTTCGGAAGAGAACATCTCTACTTTCTTAGGCTTTGTAGTAATGGACAGGTAAGCCAAGAATCCTGGATGCTCCCAAATAGCTGTGTGGGTAGTTTATGAGTGTTGTATTTCGCCCCTGCACTGCTTGTGGGAAGATGCACTATAGCTGAACTTAACTGCTTCCCTCATCCATTAGGCAACAGGACCCACAAAGCAGTTCTAATGCTGTATGAAGAAGCTCAGACTGAGCAGATGAATCAACAAGAGGCAGGAATTGACAAATAAAGGCCTAAAAAGTAAGATGCAGACAAATTCCCTTTAGAATCTCCTCCCAGAACCTGACTGGAACCCAGCCTGCAAAGAAAGTCAACTCTGATATGGAAGCTTTGGGAGTACAGAGGAGTCCAAGGTTGAAGTAAGCAGTAAACGAAAAAGTAAACCCAAAAATGACACACAAAGAGCACACAAGTTGGTCCTACTTCTTTTCCTTTGGTTGGCTTCCCTTTCAATTTCTGTCAGCTGCTGATTTTGCTAGCAGAACTCCACTAACAACGATGGCCTGATCTGTAACCAGTACTTGCAGTGGCAGCAAATTTAAACACATCCATAAAAGCCCAACGCTAGAATTTGACAGGTACCTCAAGAAACTTGTCTTTATAGGAAGGAAACTCTCAGCAATGCAGGTGCTCAGCACCTCAGCAGGATTACATTTTCTGAGACTTCTAGGAAACAATTTGATAACAGGAACACAGTCCAACAGGAAATGGCAGATAGACAAAAAGATTATTGTGCAGAATAATTAACACCTCCCCTCCTCCCCTTGACGAGGTCCACAGCATCAGATATTACAAAAAAGATGCAAAAAAAAAAAAAAAAAAGCAACTGGTTAATACATGTATAAAATAAACTTTGCTAAATGTATTTTCTTTATAACCATTTATAAACTAATCCTGAGTATTCCTAGATGTAGGAATATGTTATTAATGTCAGTTCAAGAATCTGACCTCCTAGTTTGGCCATTTACCTGTTCTGTGAGACAGGCTTCGTGGATGAAGATGTTCAAGTTGTAACTTTAGAGAAGTTCAGTTACCTATAATTTTTCAAAAACTTGCACTAATATGGGCAAAGTTGTTATTTAACTAACTCAGGTTAGCACAGGCAAATATGATACAAACATAATCTATGCTTCAAGCTTCACCTAGAAAAATTTAAACATAAAAAACAGCTCTCCTCTACCCCCTTAAAAAGAACAGCATATTTCTATGCTGAAGCATAATTCAGTTTGATGATCATGAGCAAAAATGGCCTGCTATTTTAAGTTTAAATTTTCTTTAAAAGAAGCCCATTTAATTTTTATCTGTTGCTTTAGAAACAGCTCTGCACTAATTACTCTGGCTGATCAAGATTTAACACAAGTTAGCTCAGGTTTAACACAGAATAAATACTCTAGATGTGTTAACAAACACTGTTACATCCCATCCTATCCGGCTATAATGGTGTGCTGCACTGGCACTTCAGCTGTGGAAACCCATAATCTGCTGTGTTGAAGAGAAAAGGTCATCGACCATCTGGTACTTCCACATTTCCACAGAAAAACCTGACTACAATGAAGTATTGCTGAGTTGAAACTCAGAATTTAAATTCCACTTAATAAAGGGTAATAAGCAAAAGCCTATTAGTGAATATAGGCTAGATAACATACACTTATTATACATATTTTAAAAGGTAAAATACTGTCTTGTAAACAAGACAAAACCTGTAATAGAAAATCATGAACACATCTTTAAGAAACAGCTATATCACTGGCATTGCGAGAATTCGTTGTCAATAACAAGCTCCATAAAATAAATTAAAATATTTACAACCATAAGATACAGCAGAAATTCTATTTTTAATATACAACATTAAGCTTTAAAAAATAAAATAAATCACACATTCACAAACATAGTAAGTTAGCCTCAATTCCTAGCTAATTTTGTCTCGATCTTTTAACAAAGTGCCCTTATACACTCTGGAGAATTATTTGACATCTCAGTTTTCGTAACAAAAGCTTACAGGCACTAAGGGACTCTGTTTGGGAAGAGCTCTAACCATTCTAAAATGTCTCCTGAGATCCCTCTAGTGCGTTTCCCAGCAGTGCTGATTGAATAAAATGTTGCCCAAAGGAGGCTGAACTGCAAGTGTTCCTTTAAAAACCAATGGAGCTGAAAATTGCTGTTGCTTAGTTCACCACATGCTCTTTTACCCTTCTTCAGCTAAGCTCTACTCTGCCATGTGTTTTATCTCCTTCCCTCTTCAGCAAGCTCTTCAGCCTGAAACATTTATAGTATGAAAAGCACCAGCATTTGTCAGGGCTGCCTCCATAGTCATTAAGCATTTTAACCATATTAACAAAGAAAGTAACTTTTAAATTTCTAAACCTTTCAAACAAATATCAATCAAAAAAAAAATCTCAGAATCCCTGCTAATACATTCAACTTAAAATCAGAGAGACCACTCATTAAGTAAATTTATATTTAAGTATAGAAATGGGGATTCAAACCTATGCCTTCTTCTAGACAGCTAACTTTTTTTTTCCTGTTTTGTCAGCAGACTCTTCTGTATCACAAATGCAAGAATGAAAAAGGGCTCAAAAGTTTTTATTACTTATTTCCTGTATTTTCATATTATTTTACTATCAGCAACAATAGCACTCCAATTATTGTGAGATGTACATAAAGGCACGTAAAAATTCTTGTGTATGGCTCACAATTGTTGTCAGCCACCCTCCTCCCAAAAAGCTGAATTTCTAAGCAATTTGTCTGGAATCTTCACAGCAAAAGAACTCCAAGAACTCACTATCATTCCCTTCAACTTACTCCTTAACAAAAGAGACTGAAAAATCAACTCATTCAGTGTTATCTGAAGAATCAGAAATAGATCTGTGGAGAATAAAAAAAAATAGCAAATTATTGCTACATTAGCCAGGTCTCATACTTCCACTAAGAGATACTAACGATAACATTTTTGGATCAAAACCCAAATTAATTAGGTTTGGTTCCATCTTGTAAATCCACGTGTTTTTAAGTGTATATCTATGTTTTTAGAAGACCATTTTGGTTTCAAGGCTCCTTTGCTATAAACTGTTTTTAAAACCTGATAATCAGGCCACATTACCTTTGAATAGCAAAAATAATTTGAAATATAAGTTCTGCTTTTGGGAACCTCCAGGTAACATTCCTCCTTTAAATTTAAACAAACAAGAAGTAGACTGAAAAAGACCAAACATCTTTTTTCCAATTCTATCACTACTAAGCATTTAGACCACAGAGCAAGTAAAATGCACAAAGTTTTAAGATAGAAAGACCTTATTCAAAGAACTGGTATATATACAGTATATAGATGCTGCTCCAGTATAACCAGACGTATCTTTCCCAGTTTCAGTGTTGTTAAAATAAAATCACAATTAAATGACTGCAATTGTAAAATCAAGTTCAAACACTAGGAGCTCTTAAATAAGAGATCATGCACAGAATCACCAGAAAAGAAAAGGAAATTATTATCTTCCATAGTAAAAAAAATATCCAACATATATAGAGATCTGTGTTTTTGTGGCGTTCTTCCAGATATCAGATAAATCATGAGGAATTAGGTGGAGTTGGGTTTCTGTTCACCAAAGCCCAGATTTCTTGTTGCAAATACCGTAAGAATGAGCTTTGGTAATTTCACATGTAAACATCATGCAGTTTACTGGGGGTGGGTGGGGTGGGTGTGGGGGGGGGAAGTTCCAAGAGTGATAGCATACACAGAGTTAATAACTCTTGTTGCTCCTTTTCCTGACAATGTGTCAAGATGCAAGAGTTGTGGCCCAAACAAAACCTAAAAACGTTCAGAGAAGTTACCACAATTCTGATTTCCCTCTTTTCTTTAGTCCCAGTGTTTCCAAATACCCTCTTCAGTGCTGCTAATTGTGGTAATGGCGTGTACACTAGGTCTACTTCCCCTTGAAATGGGCAAGATGGCTCAAGCTGGGCCTTCTGAGCTGTAGAAGTTAGTGGTAACAATTATTAATCACATTAAAACCAGTTAGTCCAGCTACAAGGAGCCAGAGCAAAAGAAAGTGACAGATCTCACAAACTCACGCTTAATAGGAAGTGATGAGGTAGCAGAACCTTTAAAAGACTCACCACCATCCTCCAGAGACCACTGGCCTAGTTTTTAAAAATCTGCAAATACTCCTGGTGACCCAGCCACTGTCAGGAACAAGGAAGGGCTCAGTAGTCCACAGAGAATGTGGCATTACCTACATGAACACACAGCCATAAAAGGGAAAAATCTGCAGGGGGAACTTCTCTGAGACCAAATCACAAGTCATTCAACAGAATTATTTAATCAATCAATCAAGAAGAATCTCTAATTAAAAACCAATACTTACTGGAAAGTTTTCACAAGATTTTTTAGCTCTGTGTAAACATCCCCTAGAGTAATCTGAAGAGGGCCCAAAACTGCAGGTAATCTAGAAGGCAAAGGACACTGGTTAATATATGTTTTCCAGTTTTTATTTTTTTCCTCAAGTTTTTAATTTCTTCCCTACCAGAGCTCATTAAAGTAAACAGAAAAAAAAGGGGTTATTTTTGTGCAATAGATCTGGCATGATGTTTATATTTCATATTTCTCTCAGTGGTGTTTGGGCAATACCTTCACTTTAAAACAGCTTGCTTATAACAAGTTTAGTGTGAAAGTGAATTAGAAATTAACTGTATTTTACATGCATACTCTATTAACTTCAGTATCAGTTCTGATATGACATTCTTTAAAAAAATAATAAAAAAAAAGTTTTATGTTATGAGGATTACAATTCCAGGCCTCATAAATGCTTTCCATGTTTATATTCACTGTGGTTGAAAAATAACAGTACAAAAACTGCATGCCTAAATGAGGTTTACACAGAGAATCTATCTGCTAACTGTAGGCTCTTATACTACATAAAGAGGATACAGCACTCCATTGTAAGCCTGATAACTAGAACCATGATGTTAGCAGGCAATCAGAAATTTTCAAAAACAGATTGCCTCTCTACTTGACTGCATGTAAAACTTGATATAGCACACCACAAAACACACACACTGTTTAACTAGGTCTCCATATCCACAAGTGCTGGAAATGTACTTTATACATGTACTCTTCACATTTCAGAGGTGGATTTAAGATGAAACTTTTGCCTCTATTTACTTGTTTAATAGTTAATATCCTCTTGCATTTGAATATTTACATGTGCATGTAGTGTGTTGATATTGATGGAAGAATCAAGATTTCTATTTGCCTCTATATCACTGCATGTTTTACAGTAACTCTGCTGTGCACGTTCATATTCCCACTGGCTTCATCTGAACATGCCAAGAAATAAATGCTTTACCACAATGAAAATTACGTGTAGTACATACATAAATTACATACACAGCTATTTTAAAATAATTTATTATTTTATGTATACATATTCTATATTTATATGTTCAGATAATGTTGATTTACAGTTCCTATTTTAAGTCCATCAGAATCTATTTCTAAACAACTTGCAAGAAATTAGATAGTTTAGGTGTTTCCAGATATGCGAAAAGAAAGAGACTGATAAAAAAAGGGTGCTGTGGATTATTTTTTTTTAAAGCACATTCTTATTTTAAGCTTCATGAGTTGCACCAACATTTTGATTGAGAAAGTACAGAAGTTTCCCATTTAACAGCACAACAACATGCCTTCTGCCAAGTGCTAAAGACTGGGACCATGCTGTCCTGCCAGCCATGAATGCTGTCAACTACAAGTTCTGGTGCATGCAGGAAGAGAGAAGTTTCTGTTAGACAACACCTTAGCAGTGAGATTCTGACATCCACCTCAGAAGGCTGTGCAAACTGACATCTGCTGCTTTATCAGAGATGACTTAGAAATGTTTTAGATATAAGTTCTTTAGGGCAATAATGATTATAAATTATGAGTAATGCCACTCAGAAAAAGGCCAGAATATCCTTGCACAGTGTGTTTATTACTTAAAATAACGATGAATGAGCACCAACTTCAGTTTGATTATTTACTGAAGTAAAGAATACTTACGCTTTTCTGAGTTTTTCAAGGACGATTCGCTTTCTAATCTGCATTTGTGCATTTGAATCAACAAGTGGGAACGTGAGATCTTGCTGTTCATCATCCTGTATTACAACATTAAAACCTTTAACAATTATAACCTAATACTTAATTACAGGCTATACATCAAAATAGTTACAGATTATCAATGAATGTTTAAACATAGGAAAACTCATCTCTGAACAAAGAAAGAGAAAAAAAAAAAAGTTATCTTTTAATAGACAGAACGTTGGTTGACTTGACCCCATATACAGTTTGCAGCTAGCCTACTTTTCCTCTTTTCTTGCAAAGCAGTATGCTAGATACTTTAATTCAATGGTAAATTCCTTCAAAATTATATGTTTAAACTTTTTACAAGAAGCAATGCAATAGTTTTATTTTACAGGAAGCAGCATTGTGAAAGCCCTCTGATGCATATATTTAAAGGCAAAAGCAGCTTCAGATGCTATTACAAACTGTACAACGTACCTAGCACAGTTAGTGCAGTGTTTTACAGTACTGACAAGACCACCTTATTGCTAACAGCTGGCCTGCCTGACCTGGAAGGGTCAGAGAGAAACCTCAGAGTTTATACTTCTATAGGTCTATAGAGTCTATACTTCTTTAGGTCTACAACCCTCCAGACCCCCTCCCCCCCCCCACACACAAAAAAAAGTATAGGTTACAGCAACATATGTAAACAAATCAGCAGGCTCCAACTCAGAGAATTTTAACAATAGATAATGCCAGAGATCTAGTCTAAAAAGAAAGAAATCCAATCCTTGTCGTGAATTAAAGGCAAAAATATAGATATAAATTTTATCTAATGAATCAAAGGGAAGAGAAAAATATCATTCTTCCTTCAGCCGAGGCCTATTCTGTCTTATGACAGATCTGTTTCTTCTACATAAACCTTCCTTACTTGCTCTCCAAGGCATCAGTTTTAGAGAAAGCCTTCGCTATAAAAACTCTTAAAAGCCCTAGTCCTTCTTTCTCTTTAATCACCAGTTTTTCTTGCCAATAAACTATTCTTACATTGATTCTTTAACAGCTTCACCTCACTGCAATTATGCAACACAACAATTGTACAGTCTTTTTAAGATGCAGAGGTGCTGGCAAGGACAGGCCTTGGAAGTGATGACAGCAGTTGTAGTTGACCTTTCCGCTGAGATTACAACAGCTATAGCTCCTTGACCCATTCGCTTGCAAAAACTACACAGGGCTCAGACAGTTAACTCCTCTCCCATCCCAGCTTACCAGTACCTCCTCTGCTTGCCTCAGTCCATGATCAAACTCTGCTTGAGCAAATGGATTAATCTTTCAGGCTTCACAAACTGAAAGGCTGCTGTCAGAACTGAATGTATCCCGAACAGTCAAAGTCATTCTTTTTCAACCAAAAATATGTTTCCTCAACCTGATGGGATTGTTTTGAGTCTAGTCAACCTTCCTTTTACTAGTTCACATTAATAGTTTGATGGTGCCTTGGCTATATCCACTTACAGACAAAAAGCTTGTAATAACTGCTTGAAAGCAGGCTTTAAATAGCGTGGACACTATCCCATGGGCACTTACTTTGTCTTTGCTTAGAAGTTCCTCTGCTTGTGCATGTGTCGCTGCCTCTTCAGCCAAGATGCACTTCCCTTTGTAGAACTCTTTTACTCGGAGTTCTAGGAATTCCGTTTCTTCTTTTAACTTTTCGTAACTAGGCACAGGCTTAGCTACTCCACCTGAGCCTGTATAAGGTAAGGAATAGTTCAAACTGTTTTCAGACTCCCCTGCTGCAACAGTGTCAACATCATCAGCTGCATCTAAGTCATCCTCATCAAGTTCTTCACTTTCTTGGTTGGCAGATGATTTGCATTCTGATGAGCATAAAGACGTGTAGTTCGGACCATAGAGAAATTTTAAAGTTTCCTCAGTTCTCCATTCAGTAAGTGTTTGCTTAAGGACTTCTAATAAACTGCCTTTAGCAGCCAAGGAATTAATTGGATCCCGCTGTTCAGTTTCTTTATATTGTTTTGAGTTAGCTAGTATTCTTGTAAGACGTTCTGCCCCTTTTTTGCTCACACCTAGAAAAACTATCTGTGATCCTCTATAGGTGTTTTCATAGTTTTCTGAAGCATCTGATGTTCCTGGAGTAGTTTTTTTTGAAGGTGTTGCAGTTACGTTATTTTGAACAGAGCAAGCATGCGTTTCATCCTGAACATCTAATTTACAATTAGATAGTTGTTCAGTGGCTTCTACGACATCCAAGTCTTCAGCTTTAGGGCTGGAATTGGCTTTCTGAATATGTTTCTTTTTGAGGATGCTGTTGCTGTGCAATTGCTGTTCAAGATTAGCTGAACTTGACTGATTTCCTGGTAGAACAGAAGAAACAAATTCTTGTTCAGTATCACTACTGCTGTCGCTGGCTGTGTCATGAGAAGTAGATTCACATGGATTTGAAGATAGTCTAGGATTTTCAATGTCAGAAGTTTTAATTGCTTCATCACGTAGTTTCACCTCTTCTCCAGACTTGCCACTGTAACAGAAAACATAAGCCACCAATGAAGTAAGAAATGGGTGTTACCTATAATAGCTTTCCTTTCTCATGTAAGATAAACAAAACGTTTTCCCTTATAGAGTAAGTGTACTTTCTTGCTCTATAAATCATTTATCTTCCAAAAGTCTTTAAATGCAAGGAGTTTTGACATTCTGCAGTCAAGATGGCAAGTACAGACATTGTTTAGAGAAATAAATTCCCAGTTGCTCATTGACAATTAGAATAGTAAGTTATTATTAAAGACAACAAAATGAGGTTAAACTTAGCATAATGAATTAAAAAAAAATTGCAATTCAAAGTTAAGATCAGCATCTCAACATAGCTATAAACACAGTAGGCCAGCAGAGCTCTTTTAGCATATATAAGTTTGCCATCTAATGGCCGTGTGTTGCAAGAGAAAACAAACAAAACGATAATACACACAGCAAGGTACAGAGAGATGACAGAGTAACATGATTTTAATCTAGCAGATATCAATGTTTCAGAATAGGAAGTACAGAAGCTTTCATCACATCTAATTGGTACCACTTTCTTTTTAAAGAATAGATGGTATAAAATATGCAAAGTACAAACAGTGTATTTGTTTCAGATTTCAACAGACTCAATTACAACATACAGGCCAAGAACAGCTGTACACTAAATCATACAGGTCAAACATGCAGGCTTAGCATCACAAAGATTAAAAAGGAAAAAAAGAGAGACAAATAATCCTTTGTGTACTCTCTAATAAGGCCTTTTCTATAACACATGAAATCAAAGATTCTCCTTTTATCTTATATGATGCTAATACTTGTAACTATAAATGCACATTAAGTATTGTTCAGTGTACCTCTGCCCCTCCTTCAGCAGCTCTATATCTGGTGGTCTGCAAAAAGAAAACAAAGAATGAAGAGTTTTCTGCTAAATCAATGCTCTTGAAATACACATACACACAGAAGATACAGTTAAGGCTGGAAGGGACCTCTAAGGGTGTGCTAGTCTAACATCCTCTGTTCAAAGCACAGTAAGCTTAATAGTCACCCTTGTTAAGATTTCTGATACCAACCAAGAACAATTTGGGTCTGTAATCTTTGCATTCCCCGCCACCCTGCCCAAGTAGACTGCTTTCAGATCACCCCTTGGTTTCTTCTTCATGAAGCTAAACATACTCATACCCTCGACTGGTCACAAGAGTCCCTGTAGTAAAAAGGGTTCTGTGCAGTTTGTACAAAAATGTTCCAAATTCATGAAAAAAATATGATTATTCAGGATATCTTTTTTTTTTTTTAGTTTGAATTTTTATTCGGTCAAAATTAGGCTATTACAGTTATACTGCTTTAGGAAAATTGAGTTCAAAAAATTTCCAGAAGCTCGAAGACCTGTTACAAATGATGGGTTTCTTTCCAAAATTCTAACTGCAGTTCATCTTCTTCAATTCAGTTATAAGGTAACATCATAACGCTATTTATCTTATCTAACACCGAATGTTGAAATCCTCACCTGCATTACGAGTGAAAGAAAACCTTTATAGCATGCACTGAATAAAGTCAATGCAATAAAACCTTAAACTCAGTCAGTATATATATAAAAAACAATGGGTTTAAAAAAGATGAAAGCTGCACCAGTCATATGAGTGAACTGAGTCTGGAAACTAAAGGTGATCCCATAAAATGATTTAAATTATTAATTCCAAATACTTACTCTTCAGAGTTTAAAATTAAGGTTTTTAGATTTTTCTTTCAAAAGAATTTCAGATATTCTCATGTGTAAACATACAATGTGTGCAAATGTATGTGATTATGCAAACAGACATAACTAGCCATGCACTACCTGTTTTTTGCATTTTTCTTCTGCTTGTTTGTTTTGGAAAATACACCCACCCAAGCATAAATAATTAAGTATGTCAGGCATATCAGAACTGTGTGCTTTTAATGTTAACAATAAACACTTTCTTTAGTGAGAGCAAGTAACAATACCACAATAATACTGGTAAGTTTATTTAAATATTTCACAAAGAAAACAGTTTTACCTACCGTATCAGGCTGTTCTAAACCACTACTCTTATTGATCAGATATTTCACATGATTGATCAGATCTGTGAAACTGAGCTCAGATATATAATTTCAGCTTGGTTATTCTGTTGAAAACCAGGGTACTATGAAGAGTAGTGTCTTGGAGAATGAAAAAATGAATAAATTTACCTGAACGTTCTCTAGGCAAGTATTTATTGTTGAACAGTGACACCCAGTGGCTCAATTCATTATTTGCAAGCCTATATTTCTTGAACCAGTCAACATACTAAAACGTGAACCATATTACAGTCTTCCAAAGTATGTATTGCAGTTAACAGCAGGAAATGAGCAATCTGAAATTATAGTTTTATGCAGGATAAAGAACCTCTTCATTTACAGTCTGCTTTCAGGTGTAAGCCTTCACAGTCTACCTTTAAGCCCAATGCAAGTGCTCTGCTAGAATTAGAAAATCTTTTGTACCAACATAAGATCAATTAATTCTTTACATTACATTATGTGGCTTTTAAGAATCCAATCACAAGAAATTTTAAAGTTACCAGGACATCATTATTATATACGACTAGCCTGCCCTCTAAACTAACACAGTTGTGTCTGTTGAGTAGTCATGAGCAGAACTGAGTCATGTCAATTACAGTAATCCATACTGCAACAACACTTCTGAAATTGACACCATACTCAGCTAACATGTTAACATCAGTTACCTTTGCTTCAGCCTAACCATTTGGATGTATTGCAACTAATTAATTACGATCACAGTTCGGATAGAGAAAATAGCATCCTCAGAATGAACTACAAATATATAAGGTTACACTTACATTTCTTCTTCTCGCATCCATACTGGACTTCTGGAAACTTGAGCTTCAAAATATTTAGATGCTCTGTAGCAGAAGTTGCTGCAGAAGCACTGGAAACAAAGCAGTATGTAAAGTATGACTAAAAACATCAAGAGCAGATCCAAACATGCTGGTTCTGAATCAAGCCACTATATGAATACTTCTACAAAATGCATTTCTAATGCAGAAACAATATTAAATACAGTATAGAAATAGCTTGGTACCATACCTTTCTTTCAGTAATATCATAAACTCTGTTAGTTTTTGTTGAAATTCTGTACTTCTGTTTTGGCACCTGAAACGATATACTTTCATCAGCAAGACTGTCACCTCTGTCATAAAGCTTGATTCTTAATGCACGTGTTTAAATATGCTAACTGGTTCAGCAATGATTGTCAACAGGTCAGGTTTAACTTTTTACTTCAGAAGTCTTAAACTGAAATGGAACGACAGGATATCTGGCCCATTACTTAACAGTATTTTTATCTATGTTTAATATTTTAACTTTAAAATGAAAAAGAAAATGCAAGAATATAAAAACCACTAAGAGGTTCTTATGTTAACAGCATTAATAAAAAGCAACTTACATTTTCCAGTTTATTTTGACATATAGGATAACCACATAATTTGATGATAGACCGTTCATCAACAACGTCTTTATAGTGAGATGGAGTAATATTTTTTCCCTGAAATGACAACAGTTCAACAACAGATATTGGAAGGTCATTTTTCATGCTCAAAACTTCTAATAAGTAAATAAATACATTTCATTTTATAATAGTATCAAGTAAGTTTAATAAACAGCATTCAGAACCTCCAAACTAAAATCAGTAACAAGATAAATACTCATAGGAGAAGAAAGACACGGATACTTCTTATATATACAAAAGCCTCATCATTTTGCCTCTAGTATGGTACCTGTTCTCACAATTTTCCTCTCTTTATATGTTATATAAACCTATCTACCAGCGTATTTACAACTTTAACAGGAATAATCCTCATACCATCCCAGTGGTATTACAAAAATTGTGCTGCCAGGATGAACTGTGGGGTAAGGAGTACTGTTGTCTAAATTCACAGAGGACATGATATGGACCTAACTTTTTATACTTCACCTCTGAGTCCACAACATGGGGATATAAACAAAGGTAATGAAGTGAGGATTCAAAAATACATATAGTTCTACAAAACTACAGCATATTTTCACTACAAAACCCCTGAAAATAAGGCAATCAGAGCTGACGAGAGAGGATAACCTTGTCTACTTTAAACTTCAGCAAATCACTCCAAGAACTTAAAAAGTTGAACATTGAGATATAAAATAGTGTAAAAATTTCGCAGCACATACAGAATTCAGAAGGAACTCTTCAGTAATGTTCTCTTCCAAGAGCTGTTCAACAATATGCAGTGCTTTTTTCTCAAATTCAATCTTCTTTCTAGTAGCAGCCTCCAGGGCTGCTTTCCTGTAACATAAAGGATATTGAATGACACAGAGAGTAGCTTCCACATACAGTTCTCCAGCTGTACCTTTACCAAGTATCAATGATACCACAGAATCACAGAACTGTAGGGGTTGGAAGGGACCTTGAAAGATCATCGAGTCCCACCCCCCTGCCAAAGCAGGTTCCTTAGAGCAGGCTGCCCAGGTAGGCATCCTTGAATACCTCCAGAGAAGGAGACTCCACAGCCTCCCTGGGCAGCCTGTCCCAGTGCTCTGTCACCCTCACCATGAAGAAGTTCGTTCACGTGTTGGTGCAGAACTTCCTGTGCTCTATCTTGTGGCCATTGCCCCTTGTCCTGTCCCTGCAAACCACTGAAAAGACATTCATCTGAATATATCTGAGGATATTCATCTGAAAGCCTTCTATGCAGTCAAATGAATTTTTAGGTAACTGCCCATGGCAAAAAAAAATCTGTTATGTCCAAATCTTTCAGATTCGGTTTTTAAAGTGAACAAAGAAGACTAGAAAGTATGCAAGGAAATTAAACTGGCAAAAAACAGGCATTACAGAGTAAGCAAATACAACTGTGGAGTTCAGATTCATAAACTTGTGTCACTCACTACTGTGGTAGCATCCCACGGTCGCCCCTTTTACCTTGAATAGAGAAATGCATGTGTGTTTTTTCTTGAAGGGGGTACTGGCTATCTCCAAGAAAGCCAAAAAAGCCCACGCCAGGCAAATAATACGGTTGCAAAGTGAAGCAAAACAACATGACGACCACGTATTGTTAGTCAGAAACTATACCTCTGAGCAACATCTTCGTTTTCCAGAGCAGCTGAACGTTTATTTCCTAGAAATCAAGAATACGGAAATCCGTGAGTTTATTTTCTTCATTACCCAGCAGCAAATACCGGAGCCGCGGCTCCCCCCGTAGCCGGACGGCCGAGGGCGGGCTCCCGGCGCTGCAGCCCCCGGGGCCTGAGGGGGCGGACGGAGCGCCCGGGGCCCGGCCCCAGCCCCACGGCGCTGGCGGTCGCGTCTCCGCAGCGCAGCGCCGGCCGCCCCGCCGCTCCGCAGCCCCCAACAGCGAGTTGGGCGAGCCGCTGCGCCGGCCTGAGGGCACCAGGGAGAGTCCGCAGCGCGGGGCGGAGGGGAGCGGCTTTCGGAGCTTACCTGCGCGCCGCCGGCCGGGCTTCCCCTTGGCGCTGCCTTGCGGCCTCCTGGCCGCCATCGCCGGTGGTGGTGGCGGCTGCCGGCTCCCTCCCCCTGACCTCTCACCGGAGGCGGAGCCGGCTCAGGTGTGGCCCGGCCCGGCCCGGCGGGAGGCGGCGGAGACGGCGGCGGCTGAGGGGAGCGCGGGGCCGGCCGCGGGCTGAGGCGCTGCGGAGGGAGCCTGGCTCCGCCGGCGGGGCGAGGGGTGAGGAAGCGGAGGCGGGGGCTTTGGTCCCGCTGCGTGCGAGGCGCTCGTTAGCAGCCCTGGGGGGCGGCCTGCGTGTGGTACCTGCCCGGGGAGGGGGCTAGGGGTGCGTTTGGTAGGGGATGGAGCTTCTCGAGGGTTAAAAGCGGATTTTTTTTGCTGTTTAGATGCTGTACGCTTGCCGCGGGAACCAGTGAAAAGATATAATTAGAAATAGGATTAAGTATTAGGGCCTGAGACCGTCTGTGAGGTTAACTGGCAAATCCCTGCCAGGGCATATTTCAAGTCTGTAAGTACACTGTAAAATTTCTGAGAGCTGAAAACCCCAAAATACGAGCGTTCAAAAGTACATTTAAATTATTTTGGGTGTCTTAGTGACATCCTCCAAAAATAAGTGGTACAATTTGCGTTAATAAAGTATATTGATAATCACAAAATCAGAAAGATCAGGTTCGAAACATTGCTAGATTGCAGGCTAAAGTGTTAAATTGCAAGTTAAAGTGCAAGTTAGTGTTAAATTAGGTAGTTGAGAATAGAAAATTATGTGATCTTTGAGTAATAAAATCTGCAAATGTGCTTTTTAAGTTGCTGTGAGTTGACTGCTTTTTATAAACGTCTAAATAGCTTAGTTATCTAGATGCTGTGTTAGGTAGCTGAGGTCAAACTTAGGAGGAAAGACTGAGGATGTTACATTGAAATATCTGTGTAAATATGAATCTTGGGTGCTTGGATGAATAGTTCGCCAATTATAGAAGTGCAGAGGTAATTGACAGACACAACGATTATATAACCAGGTTTAGGCACGTGGAATTACTCAAAACTATAAAGATTACGACCGCTGCTCTGATACATCATGCAATAATTGAGCTGGATTTTATGTGTTACTCATGGTAACTTTACTGAAATGTTTACTTAGTTTTCAGCAAGGAAGTTTTTAATTGCATCTAGAGGTAAAAGGACTCTGAACAACCAACCTAGACAATAGGAGGAAAGAATTGATATTGCATATGTAGTCTTGATTGGACTAAAACACTGTTAACACAAACTGGCACAGTGGCTGGATCAGCTGTGCATGTCCTGGGCATCAGGTTAGAGTGTTCTAGTCAGAGCTGAGCAGATAGCTTATCTGGTGAAGATATGCACAGAAAATGTAGTGTATTTTGGAAGTCCAGGGTTGGTGTGCAGTGAACCCAGGCTGTATTAGTTGCAGTTTTCATTGTCTGTGTCATAGCTATGGCCTCCTGACTTCCTAAGATGATCCTGATGGCACTCAGAATTTGCTTCTCTGTACATAGAATGCAGGTTATTTTCTATGAAATCCAGCAAATATGGGGAGTAGAATAATACAATATACACTTCTTAAAAATATATTTTTGCCTTTCTTAAAATCGTGTAATCTTCATAAGATCTATTAATATAGATTGTTCTCATTTCGCTACTGGGCATTGTTTTTGATAATGTGATTATTTTTCTGTCTCTATGTTTACTTCATGTGTTTTAATACTGCGCTCCTTAATTTATAATAGTTTTCAATGCCAGAAGAACAAAGTCAAACTACAATGGCAGTTGATGAACTTCAAGCCATAATACAAAGATGTGTAAGTACTTTTCTCTTCATAAACCTGACAAATGTAAGCAGTTCAAGTTTTTCTTTGTGACTGCAAAACACGAGACATTCATTAGCAGATCTCCTCATTGGGCAGCTAGGTTCAGTCTCCATGTTTCATTGACTTCTGCGTGGTGCTTATCCCAAGTTCTGCCTCCCAGAGAAAGAAGTGTTGTTATTTCTCTCAACGGTACCTGTCTGAGGGAACAAATCACCAGGAGGCTGCTATAGAAAATACATCTTCTATATATTGTGCTGTAGTTTAGAGTTAGAAAATGCTACTGAAATACTGCTTTGTCTTCTGTGGTAGCTCTTGGTAACTCCTTTTAATATGTAAAGGATGTTAGTAAGAAATGATAAGTTACAGTGACAGTACATCTAATTTTGAAATGAAAACTTGGATTTACCTATTTTTCATTTGATTTTTATAAATATGGAGTTAAGCATGTATATTTTCTTTCTAGCAAATTCTGGAAGAATCTGATTTCAGAGGAGAAGATTTTAATCTGTTTCAGGTAGCAGGTCAGAAATGTTTAGAAGATGGATATGCTGCTCAGTTGTTAGAAGTAATTCAAAATGAGAAAAACAAGGTGAGTTGAAGTTTGCACTATATATTAGTTTAAGCACACTTATAGATAAAACTATTAAAAAGGGAAAGCTACTTTCATTGTGGAACATTTGAACAGTTAATCAGTTGCTATCCGTTAAGTGCATGTTCTTGTGCAACTTCAGGTAGTTTACAGAAGTCAAGTCACGGTAATTTAAGAAAACCATTAATAACTACTTTCTAGTGAGTTAAGGAAATAGAAAAGAGATGCCGAAAACATAACTACGAGAAAATGCCCTTGGCCCTCTGTTGCAGGACAGAATTTCAGATGAGGCACTGAATGGCATTTTCTTCATGGCAGCCTGCATGGTGCTGCTTTAGCTTTGTGGCCAAGACAGAGTTGATAACACACTGGTGTCACAGCTGTTACTGAGCAGCGCATGCACAGCATCAAGGCCTTTTCTACTTTTCACTCTGCCCCCTTGGCAAACAGACTGGGAGGTTGCAAGAGGTTGGAAGGGGATGCAGCTGGGACAGCTGACCCTATTTGATCAAAGGTATCATCTGGTATTCCATACCAGATAATATCATGCTCCCCAGTGAAAAGGGGGGCAGTCTTCCCAAGGTAGCTGTTGCTCAGAGACTGGCTGGGCATTGGTGATGGAATTTTTGCCCAGTGTTACTGGGGGTCCCCATCTAGTCACGAATTCTGTGAGTTTGGTGTAACAATTGAAAATCCTGATCCCCTCACTTTAAACGTATTTTTTCTAAACTTTCTTTCTCTGCTTTTCTTAATCCAACAAAACCCCTCTACCTACTCCTGTTTGACATTTATTGCCATGTAAATTCTTGGAACTATATACGTGTTAGAAATAATACATTAAAGAAAGCTAGACAAAATATGAACCTATAATGATTAGATATGGGGAGAGAATACGATGTATGTCAAGTACAAAACTTTATAGTAATAGATGTTATGTTTCCAATGACATTATTATGGTATTGGTTGCAACCAGGACATTGATCTGTTGTCTTTTTTTGACCTTCATATATACAATTTTTCTGTGTTTAGAAGATGTCAGGTTTTTGTTTATTGTCTGAAAATCTGTTTTGTAGGTTATCATCAAGAATATGGGTTGGAATCTCATTTCTCCTCTTGTTAGGTGCATTTTAGCATATAAACAGGAAGATGATAAGCAAGAACACTGCCTGAAGATACTAGATCAGTTGGTACAGGTATGGCTTTGAAATACATAGTTATAATAAAATAATTGTAGGGAAGGGAAAGGGAGATGTCCTTTTCTACTTCTGATTTCCAAAAAAAACCAGGGCATGAATACTTCTGTGTTCTTTTGCCCATTCCGCATAACTTTTAAGCTCACAGGCCAGTTTTACCTGAAGTAGACAAAGGATTAGCATTCTCAGAAGTATTCAACCTTTTAACAAATTTGGAGAATTTATTAATTAGACAAAGCATAGAGACAGAGAATTACTCAGGAAAAAGTAGCTAGGCCCCATCTGATACAAAGTTTTTAATGGCCAGCTTCTACAGTCAGTGTAGCCACAGCAGTGCTGCCTCTTGTCTTCAGCAGTTGCAGTATGACAGTGAGTATCTGCTGATTCTGGGGGATTAACAGGGAAATAACATTTATTCTATTGGAAATCAGTTCCCTTTCGTTCACCACTTAGAGAACAACTTGCAAATTGAGTGGAATTCACACTGAAGTTTTTATTTTCTCTCTGCTCGTAAGGAATTTCTTGCTATGGTACTGTGAGATGTTGATAGAACGTAGAAATCAAGTTATGTGCATTAGATTTGCTATGTTTTAGCTTACATGAAAGTGTACTTGCATATACATGTTACAGAAGACATTAACTTTAGGGAAATACTTATTGTTTCATATTTATTTCCTTAAAGATTATTTTGGATGTTATGATCTGCTTTCTTAATGTTCAGGAACTTCTGAATTGCAGTTTGTTTTGTGGTGTGTGTGTGTGTGTGCAGTTTGTTTGTGGTGTGTGTGTGTGTTTGTTTGTTTGTTTTTTTTAATATTTTATGACCATAGTGGTTAAAACATGTATGTTGTTCCTCTCTTGCAGCTGTGCAATCCGAAGGAACTTTTTCTGGGTTTACTTGAACAGATAGAGCAGACGTCGGGAGAGCAAGTGTGCCCAACTGTCATGCTACTACTTCAGCCTTTGCAGACAGGTAACATTCACTTGCTCATGTGGTTTCTGAAGAAAAAAAATATCTTATTTATCAAATTAGTTTAACCTTTGCTAGAATAGTTTCAGAATATTGCTGTCCTGATAGTCTTTACAGTTTTTTTTTATATTCTGGAAAATATAAAAGGGGAATTTTTCAGTAATTAACTTTTAAAACATACGTTTCCATATTTTTATGGTATAAAGCTTATATTTGTAATTGAAGCAATTGAAATGTTTGAGATGAAAGACACATTCTTCTGATTTGCATAAAAAGATGAAAAGCGTTGGTTTTGGATACCAACTAAATAGTTAACATGACTGTGCTACAGAGAAAGGAAGAATGTGTGGAAATGTGGGACTGCTTTATTACGTCATTTTCAGCTATATGGTCATGCTAACTACAGTGTGTTAGACTAGCTGGTGATATTGTTTAGTCATGCTGTACTTAGTCATATGAGTTCAGGTATTAGTCTCTTTCCTTCCCTGAAACAAAAGGCTTTGTTATGCAGTCACATTGTTTTTCTTCACACTTTCTTCCTGCAAGTAATAACTTAATGTCTCAAAATGTTCTCTTTGTTTCAGTGCTTTTGAAACTTCAGAACAAAAAGGCCTACTCGGTGGGCTTATCTTTGGCTATGATTATGAATCAGCTTACTCCTTTGCCTGTGCCTTATACAAAACAACAAATACAGGAAGATAAACTTGGTCTCTGCCGATGTTGTAATGCAGTGGTGGACTTTGCTAAACCTTTTGTGAACGAAGTTGTTAAAAACATGGAAAAGTCATCAGAATACAATGACATGGAGCTGAAAGAAGAATTATTAAAGTTGTGAGCACTTTTTGTCAACTTATTGTGTTCTATAAAGTAACAAGATGAACAGTAGGCATTTATTGCATAGGCAGTAAATAAATCATCTTATTAGTGTTTTTATAGTGCTGTCAGCATATAAACCAATGCTGTATTTCAAAAATGGAAAAAAAAATCCTTTACATTTTTATGAAGTGAGAGAAGAAAGGCAAAAATCATTTTTTTTAGTACAAGGAAATGGTAAAGAAATGTTAGTCTCTGTGATACAGAGCTAATTTGGTGGTCTGTGTTTCTACTCAAAGGTATAACTGAGGATAATCATATTTTAAAGGCTAATTCTAAGGAATGCTTCTCTGAGAAACATTCTTATTTTCATTCTTGGAATATTGGGAATAGCAGCAGCTAATATGAGTGTAGACTTTGCTGTTGGTCATTAATGACATTAGTATAGTCTCTATTTGTGACCTTATTGGTGATTTTATGTTTCAACCCTTCTTATTTCAGCTGTATGAAAAGCCTGAAATACCCATTATTGACCGCTCAGCTTGAACAGCTCGAAGGCATTGAAGAACATCCCTTCAGGCATTTTGCAACTGAAATTATAGTAAGTGTAGTCAAAATGAATTACAGTGTTTGCAAAAGCAGTCTTATGGTTCAGGATTCCCAAGAATTAGTTGTGGAGCTCATTTTGCTTCTGGTACTGGTGTGTGATGGCTTACCAGGTCCTGTAAGATAATGCAGGTAGATAAAGGTTTGAAATAGTTAAAGGTATTAGAAATTATAAATCTTGCAGACACAGTTTTGCTCCTTGATAAGCCACTTTGGACTGTTTGATAAGCCAATTTGTCTGAATCAGCAGTTGCTACTTTGTTGTAACTGATTCTTTTTCTTGGTGATGTATTGTTTTTAATTTTTTGAAATATCTAAAGGATTGTTTATGTTGCAGTATTAGATGAAAGTAAAAATCCAAGTATTAATCCAAGTTTTGCACACAGAGAAATCTCTAATGTGCCTAAAGTGCTGCCTGTTAAGAAATGTAAGTTGATTCTTGACTGCTGCTGATGCTATAGTTGGAAATTCAGTGTGAACATGCCCACTCCATGCTACCAATGCTGTTACTCTGGTTTTGAATGTTTTGCCTAGCATCTCTGTTTTATTAGAGCAAGATTATGTTGTTTCAATAGCTATGGATACACTTGTTTCTCATCTTTATTCTTTCATGGAATTGTTACTAAGGTTGAGCTTTGGAATTTTTTCTACCTTGTTTGGTTAGACCAGGAAAACTCACAAGTCAAATACAGAAGAGAAAAAGTTGAAGAATGCATGGAGGGAAATGGAAGTTTTACAAAAGGTAGAATAAGAGGGGTGAAGCTGACTGAGGAACTGAGGAAATCCAACTACCTGAGGAAGAAGGCTGAAACTATGTGAACTATGAACCAGGGAGTTAGAAAAGAGGCAGCTTTTTATACGGGGAGGAACTAGTCCTGAAAAAGTGGAGAGACTGGGTCAGGTTGTCATTTTGTGGGGAGGGAATGGCATGAGAAGGTGTGATAGATCTCTAAAGACTGGGAGCCAACTGGGATGAGGAAAGCATGTATAAATACATGTATGTGTTTGCATGCACACGAAGGAAGTCGGGAAGTTGCCATGTGATACAATTGTTTCTTCTCCAATTTGTTTTTAAAAATAAAAATTTATGCACGCAAAATTTTATTAAGATTGTAAAGTGAAGCACACTGAGCAGTTAGCCAAACTTCTGGTTGTTTTCCACCATAACTGGGTTTTCTATTGTGATCACATCAACTTTTTTCCACAGCAAGTCTCGATCACCATAGGATAGAACTGCTATGTGGATCAGTCAGGGTTGTGCAATGCAAGAGAATCTGTCTGTGAGATCTTTGCTTCTTTTATTGCAGAATTTTAAGATGTGCAGTGATGGAGGCAGGGATTACCAGAAGATCATCTAATAGTTAATATAGTTGAAGTCTACTCTGAAAAACGATCTTTTATCCCTGCCTCTCCTGTTGGGCATAGTCTGAAACCATGTTTATTACACTAATTATGAATTACCTTTTCTTCATTTTCTCAAGAAATTCACTTCTGATGTTTGTGGAATTGGGTAATGAGAGCTGCAGCTAAGGTCAGTAATGACATACTTTGACTATGTGACATTTTGTATAATCCTAATTCTCCAAAATGTCAGATCCTGGATGTTTGGTATGGATAACTCTGGAAGAATGAGTTAACCCTGATCTCTCTGCCTCTTCATAATCCATACAATAAGAATTACAAAAATGTGTGGAAAAAAGCACTTAATATTTGTGAAGTACTCAGGTGTCATTGTGTAGTGAATTGCTGGAAAGAAAGGCCATACAAAATGATTCTAACTTTAAAACAGGGCTTGCCTTTAGTAGGTGAACATTGCATTGCATATGACCAGTGATCAAAAAGCAATACTAAGTGAATGTTCAGTGAAAAACACATGGGTCCTGTGGCATAATGTGATCATGAAGCTATTATTCATAGCTTTTGTGGATAAGGGAGCCAAATTGGGTTTTGCAGGGTGACTTTAATTTTGCCTTTTGCTAACTTTTGAGTGCTTGACTTTGCTATCTTAGTAACATTCTTCTGACAGTGGTTATTTTTCCTGGAAGGCTTTTTTTGTGTATGTATGTATCATAAATATTCACAATATATGTCTAGTAACTTATACATATACTACATAAGAGATTTTACTGCAAATACAGCTTACGCTTTTAAAAGTATTTGGTATGCAGTTTTCTAAAGGCAACTGAATGAAATCTAACTTTCTTTTTTAGGACATTTTGCAGGATATAAGGGAATTGATGCCACTAGTATTTATACATCATAAAGGCAGAAGATCATACTGGGAGAATCAGGAGTTTGAGGACATAGAGCGAAAGAATTCTGCAGATTCTTTGGCATGTCTGTCATATCTGATGTTTGTTCAGCATTTCGGTATCAATTGCTTTCCAATGGTATTTAGGTAAGAGCTATTCTTAGTGAGGACTTACTGTAAGTTTGTACTTTGAAGTTTGTTTCTGAGCAGAAGAAAACATTTTATTTTGAATAACTTTAATGAAAGCTGTGGATTTCCCTAGTATTTATTTTTTTGCTAACATTTATCATTTATGTAGCTTAAGAACGTACTTCAGTCTTTCAGATTACTTTATTACTGCTTAATTGTAGATGAGCTGACCTTTTAAAGAAACTGATAGGATTTGTCTCATTCTGAAAATGAACATATATGAAAACTTCAATTATTTATAGGCAGATGTAAACTGCAAATTATGAACAGAAATTTGACTTACTGCTGTATGTCTATTTCAAAATTATAAATTTTGTAAAGATAATTTTGTAGATTTTTCAAAAGAGACTAAATCAGTCAAATACATTAACTGTAACAATGTATGTGTCTTTATGCAGTTTAATATAAACCTAACTTTCTCTTCTAGTCCATCATACCTTCTGCAATGCAATATGACACATATTGAAGTGCTGCTGAATAGGTAGGTTATGTGGTATTTGGATTTCTAGATAATGTGTGTCATGTGTTTGTCCTATGGTTTATTTCTAATCTTTTATTGTAATTCATATAAATGAAAACCAAATAAATTCAGATAGGTTTTTAAGTCTCAAGGTTAAAATGGCAAGCTCCACGATAAGATAGCCTTCTCTTTTTCTAAGAGTTATAAAAAGTTGCCTAAAACATTCATTTATTGTTTTGAGAAACTTTATTCTGAAAATGCAACATTAAGGCCATTTATACCCATGAAGAATATTTAGAATGTATACTTATTTGTAACTGTAACAGTTTACTACTAACAGAGACTATGATGATAGTACTTACTTGAATGTATTCCGGTATGATACGCAATCTAATTAGAAGTTATGCTTTCTAGAGGAAACCAGACTTTCTGCATATTGTGTTTATTTTGTCTTCCGTAAGAAGCAGCGTTGACCAAACAATTTCTAGCATTGCTGTAGAAGGGAAGTTTCTTATTATCACTGCTTATCATTTTGTGGTAAAATTTAAATGAAATTTCTTGGCCTCTTCCAAGGCCAAGAAAAATCTTAGGATTTGTCATATTTTTCTTTGGCTTGCAGGATTATGCATATGAAATCATCTGTGTGAAGCTTCATTTTTTTATTGATTAATACCTGTGGGATATGAGCTACTGCCTTTGAGCATTTACAGATATTGAGAGGGGGAAAAAATTGACCCTAAAGAGAAGTGTCCAGTTTGCTACTTTTTATCAGTCAATATATTCTGAAAATCTTTGAGAGATGTTATGAAGGTATTATATTTGGAAAGCAGAATGAAAATTGTTGAGGGCCAAGTTTCTTTTTGACATCTGTTCTACAATTTCATCTGAAATATCATCAGCATCTCTTTAACTTACAACAATTTTCATGTCTTTTTCTTTCTAGAACAGAAGAATCTATGTTATCTAAAGGACTTGTAAGTTTATTTTTTGTTTAATCAAATTTTCATTATTTGAATGCTTACTCTTTCTGATTTGAGAAACAGTAAAACTTCCATTTCCCTTTCTTAGAAAGGTATACAAATAATAGTTCAGATAATATTTTCTTCAGTCTTACAAACATTTAAATTTATTGAACATTACAAACATTCACATACCTTTAAGTTACGATTACCACTTAAATTTGTAGCTCCTAGGAGCTTTGGATATGCAAAAGAGGATTTATGGTAAAGGCAGTTGTAGCCATGAAATGTGAAACGTGTACATATACAGGACATTAATTTATAAGGTGTTGGTAGTTGTTTTTTGTTTGTTTGCCTCTTTTTTTTTTTTCTTTCTCACTCACAGGACCTGTTTGAGAGCTGTTTATTGAGGATGGAAGATAATAGCCTTAGCCATCAGTATTTAGAATTCAGAGATTTTATTAACGTGCCTCAGGTAATAAGAAGCAATGTACAGAAGTCTCTGTAGTTGATTATAAATAATACCTACCAGTTTTCTACGTGTTTGAGAGCGAATATACTACTGAACTTGAATACAATTGTGTTGTCAAATTGAAACCTATAGTGTCATGCTATACAGAATTGTCTGTCTTCTATGTGCAGCAGTATGAAGTTACTGTGACAACTAAAATACACTAAGTGCGTGTACAGGCCACCGAGGCAGCTAGGCACTGATCCTAGCTGAAAGAGAGCACTTGCTAATTTTTGCTTCTTCCTTGGAAGTGTGTTGCTTGATCGCATTCTTATTTGGACACAGTTGTTAGTGGGCTGAGTTTTTTTTGGTTGTTTTTGTTTGTTTGTTTGTTAATACCTTGAACAGATTTTATTCAGTGTGAGGTAGTCTAATAATCTGCATGTAATTACAATTCATGTTTTTTTTTTTTTTTTGTCCAACTGCAGGATTTGGTGAAAGTTATGACCCTTTGTCCCATAGAGTACCTGGTATGTAACAGAACACACAGAATGAATTATGTGATTTTTTTTTTTAATTAGAAAATTATCAGATAACTTTTTATTATTATTTTTAGAGAAAGAAGAGTTTAAATATGTTGCAGTTGTTCATAGACAAATTTGATGCAGAAGGAAAGTACACGTTATTCAGGTATGCATTCAAATGAATGTAGATTGCGTAATATAAGCCTTGTTGCAACTTAATTGCTTAGAAACTCAGTCAGAAATAATTTTTATTAATCTGGTAAGCCACACTATGTTCACTATGTTAAATTGTGGATAAATAATGAATTTCAGTTGCCTTTCACAAAATCATCTATCTTATATAACCCACTGTATAACAGTTGGATATTTTCTTTTTCTGAGGTAGAAGTCCCACTTAGTTAATAAGGCCATAATATCATCCAAGTCTTGAGCTAACTATAGGCAGCTTTTAAATGATAATATCTTTATTTTTGTTTGAAGGTGTTTACTGAAGACAAGCAACCACGCTGGTGTACAGGGATACATTATTCAAAAAATAAAAGATCAGATTCACTTATCATTAACGGTAAGCCTATTGCCTTTAAAAAAAAAAACAAAAACAACAAATTGTCATCTCAAATGTTGAGCAAATACATGTAACTTAAGATTTGAGTGATGCATTTAAAACAAAAACAGAAACAAACAACTATACATTGAAAAGAAACATAAGATTGGGAAATAATTAAAAAATACTGATTTGGCTTTTTTCTGTGTATGTATTTTTACATTATAATTTTACATATATGCAGTTTTAATTACACAATTTACAGTATTTTACAGGTTATTACAACCTTCTCTGTGCTTGAAAAGCATAGTCCTTAAGGGGGAGCTGCTTGGTATTTTTTTTATTCTCGCATTTCCTGAATATAATTCAAATCATAGAATCATAGAATCATAGAATATCCTGAGTTGGAAGGGACCCTTAAGGATCATCAAGTCCAACTCTTGACACCGCACAGGTCTACCCAAAAGTTCAGACCATGTGACTAAGTGCACAGTCCAATCTCTTCTTAAATTCAGTACAGGCTCGGTGCAGTGACCACTTCCCTGGGGAGCCTGTTCCAGTGTGCAACCACCCTCTCTGTGAAGCCTAAGATGACACCCCTCCTGATGTCAAGCCTAAATTTCCCCTGCCTCAGCTTAACCCCGTTCCCGCGGGTCCTGTCACTGGTGTTAATGGAGAAAAGGTCTCCTGCCTCTTGACACCCCCTTACGAGGAAGTTGTAGACTGCGATGAGGTCTCCCCTCAGCCTCCTCTTCTCCAGGCTGAACAGGCCCAGTGCCCTCAGCCGTTCCTCGTACGTCTTCCCCTCCAGGCCTTTCACCATCTTCGTAGCCCTCCTCTGGACACTCTCCAACAGTTTCATGTCGTTTTTATACTGTGGTGCCCAGAACTGCACACAGTACTCGAGGTGAGGCCGCACCAGCGCAGAGTAGAGCGGGACAATCACCTCCCTCGACCTGCTAGCGATGCCTGTGCTTGATGCACCCCAGGACACGGTTGGCCCTCCTGGCTGCCAGGGCACACTGCTGGCTCATATTCAACTTGCTGTCTACCACGACCCCCAGATCCCTCTCTTCTAGGCTGCTCTCCAGCGTCTCATCGCCCAGTCTGTACGTGCAGCCAGGGTTTCCCCGTCCCAGGTGCAGGACCCGGCACTTGCTCTTATTGAACTTCATGCGGTTGGTGATTGCCCAGCTCTCCAACCTATCCAGATCCCTCTGCAAGGTCTTTCCACCCTCATTCGAGTCCACAACTCCTCCAAGTTTGGTGTCATCAGCAAACTTGCTCAAAAAACCTTCTATTCCTACATCCAGATCGTTTATGAAAATATTGAAAAACACCGGCCCCAAAATGGAGCCTTGAGGGACCCCACTGGTGACCGCCCGCCAGCCTGATGCAGCCCCATTCACCATAACCCTTTGGGCCCTGCCCGTTAGCCAATTGCTCACCCATCGTATGATGTTTTTATTTAGCTGTATGGTGGACATTTTGTCCAGTAGGATCCTATGGGAAACCGTGTCAAAAGCCTTGCTGAAGTCCAAAAAAATCACATCAGCTGGTTTCCCTTGGTCCACCATACGGGTGATCTTCTCATAAAAGGAAATCAGGTTAGTTAGGCAGGACCTACCCTTCACAAACCCATGCTGGCTGGGACCAATGACTGCTTTGTCCCCCAGGTGCGCCTCAATAAGTTCGAGAACCATCTTCTCCATGATTTTACCAGGCACTGACGTGAATCTGACAGGCCTGTAATTGCTAGGGTCTTCTTTCTGACCCTTCTTGAAAATCGGCACAACATTTGCCAGCTTCCAGTCTACCGGGACCTCTCCAAATTCCCAGGATCGTTGAAAAATAATTGAGAGAGGTTCCGCAATGACGTCCGCCAGCTCTTTCAGCACCCGGGGATGAATCCCATCCGGACCCATGGACTTGTAGGGATCCAGGTGGAGTAGCAAATCCCGCACACGTTCAGGGTCGGTTGGGAGTTTGTCATCCCCACCGTCCCGGTCGTCCAGCTCAGGGCACCCTGGGTCCCGAAGCCCATCATCGGCATTGAAAACAGAGGCAAAGAAGGCATTAAGCGTCTCTGCTTTGCCTATGTCATTGTCTGTGAGGAGACCTTCCCTATCAAGGAGCGGCCCCAAATACTACAGTCTAGACTATTGATTTTTCTCTTGGGTTTTATTATGACAGTCAGCATTATATTATGAGTGCTTCACAAATGTTATACTCATCAGAAAGGGTTGAGCCAGATCAAAGCCATTTGAATCTCATATTTTATGATAATTTATACCAGGAAATTGGAAAACTTAAGAAATAAATGATTATCCCTTTTTTTTTTCTTGTTTTTTTTTTTTTTTTTCTTTTCTTGTCTTCTCCCCTTTTTACTTCTTAAGGCCTTTTTCAAAGCAGATTTCATCTGAAAGGTCTTCATTTTGTCAAATAGGACAACATAGTAAACTTGCACATATTTCATGCTAGCGTTTATGAAGTGTAACACAATTATAATATAAGGGCACAACCGTGTTAGAGAACAGGGAATTACTATTTATCAGATCATAGTCTGTCCTGTATATGGAACCAGCAGGGGGTGAAGAAATTAATACTATGAAAATTCTCCCAAAAGAAGCTTGCACTAAAATTGAATAGGTAAAATACATTCTGAATTTTTTTTACTGCTGAATTTGTTGCCTGTGCAGCTTCAGAATTCTGTCAATACAGAACTGCTGTGTAGAACAAGCTGTCTAAAAGTCTAATAATTTTAAAATTTTATCATACGGATTTGAATATTCTATATTTGTTGCAAATAATTTTGCTATAGACATCATGAAATAAGTGGATAACATTTTTTACTGCCTAGGTAGTCTTTATCTTTTTAGGTTTCTCATCTGATCTAACTTAATGCTGACAGGTACCCTTCTTGTCTCATCTAATATCAGTATACAGATAGAGAAGATTATGAAAAGACTAATTTATATACTTTGATCACATGTAGTAATTAGAAAATATTTCCTCTGGCATTTAATTTGTGTATTTATTAGCTTTCCATTTTCCCCAAATTATTCTTGTTAATCATAAAAATATCCTGAGTTGGAAGGGACCCACAAGGATCATTGAGTCCAGCTCCTGGCTCCACAGAGGGCCACCCAAGAAACATATTTCTGAGGGTGAAGTCCAAATACTTTTTGAACTCCACCAGCCTTGATGCTTTCCTGGGGAGCCCGTTGTAGTGTCCAACTACCTTCTCAGTGAAGAACCTTACCCTAACACCCAGCCTGACCCTCCCCTGTCCCAGCTCCATGCCATTTGCTCGGATCCTGTTGCTGAGAGCAGAGCTCCTCAGAAAGCAGAGCTTAGTGCCTGCCTCTCTTCTCCCCTTGTGAAGAAGCTGCAGGCTGCCACAAGACCTCCCCTCAGCTTCCTCTGCTGTGAGCTGACGAAACTGAGTAACCTCAGCTGCTCCTCATATGTCTTCCCTTTTAGACCCTTTGCCATTATATTGTTTATGTTAAATTATTTAAGATTTATTTATCTTTATTTAAGATTTAAATTTTGTACTCAGATAAACTTTCTGTATCATTTTTCAGAAGGCACATGACAACGTCTGGTTTACAGGACATCACCTGATCTCCCTTCTAGATTTAGTGCTTTTCCTTCCTGAAGGTGCTGAGACAGATCTTCTCCAAAACTCAGATAGGTGAGTTGTAGTTACAATTAGAGGCTTTTCTCTTTTTTGGTTTGTTTGTTTGTTTGTTTTTGTTTGTTTTTAACTGCTTAAAAAAAAAGTCAGACTACCTTACTACATAATTAATGAAGTGACAACATCAATGTATTTTAGATTTATTTTGAAACAGAGGTGCAAATGATCATTTATCATTATTTCAACTAACTGTGCATAGAAGAATGTTACAGTGCTCTTATATTGGTGTTAACAATAAGAAGTGAATTCTTCCTGCACTCCTCAAAAATATGAGGCCTTATGTCAGACTACAGAATTAATTGGTAAAGCATTATTCCTTCAGGAATGCATGGTTTGTCATTTTTCTGTGGAAACAGAAGAATAACATCAGCAACTGGCAGAACAGAAGAAATGTGGTGTGTTGCCTTACTTGATACAGGGGTATAAAAACGATCTGATGTAACTTACAGCACGCAGCCTTGTCAAGGTTCTTGCACAGATTTCTGCTGAGAGCCCTGTGTGTCATGAGTTTCCGCTCAGATACAGAGGTATCTCAACAATACTTGCATTAAATAATATAAAAATAATTGGAAATGCCTCTGAAAATCTCCTGTACAGGACAAGTCGCTTCCTATGTGATGAATAAAAATTGAGCTTGTAAATCCGCAGGATGATGGTGTCCAGATGGACACAACTGCTTAAAAACCCAGATGTAAAATCCGTACTTGGAGACAGTGCTACTGTTTATCTGGAAAAAAACAATTAATATTTTTTTGCTAAAAGAAAAAAAAAGAGTAAAACAAAAGCAAAATACACATTTAAAAAGCATACGAAAGTAAAAAAATCAATACAGTAAGAAAGAAAACTGCTAGACTAGTTTCAAATCAGCTGTGGATCTCAGCGGTGATATATATTAGAAATTCTGTAATATAGTTCTCTCTTTTCAGAAAACTCTTTTCCTCGCAATCACTGACCTTGTCTAATCTACTGCTGGTTTTAATCTTACTTGTAAAGTGTCAGCTTCTGTTGTAACAGGGAAGTGCACACTGGTGCTCTCGATTAAGCTATATTACTCAACAGAGAAGTGGTTTCATGTTGTACAAAGGGATATTTTTAGGATGCCTGGCTGAATGGGCAATTTAAGTTATCAGCCCTGTAATAAATGTCTGCACTTTAAATGATCAGTAGTGTTTCTCATTCACAGGATTATGGCATCACTAAATCTGCTGAGATACTTAGTCATTAAGGATTGTGAAAGTGAAAATCAAGTAAGTAGTAACTGATTTGAAACTGATTGATTTCTGATTAGCAGAGGACTGAGAATTTCCTCAAGTCAAAAACATGTTTTTTGCATTTTTCTCCCAAATACTCAGCAATCCAGAAGTGATATTTTACTTGGCTGTATTTAGAAATGTACAATGTATTATTTTATCCTGATGAAATATGGTTGCATTCATATTTAATTGTTACCATAAACAAGCTAATTCTTTTACTCTGCCTAATGAGATCTGGTCACTATCTAGTATGTCACCATAAAATAACATCCCTATCAAGGATTCCCATAAGAAAAAAAAAATTAGTCTTGATTATTTATTCACTGATAAGCCCCCAAGTGAATATCTTAATGGATTTCTTTACTAGCCTTTGCAATTCAAAAGATCCCATTTATTCATCTTTAGGTAAAATTTGTTTTCTGTGCGACATGCTTAAAGTTATTAGCATTAAGATTTCTCAGAAAATATTTAATTATCTTATTTAAATAGTTTTTAACTGTGCAAAGATGTATTCTATATTTACATATTAACAGCTTCTCTGGGTATTAACATAGAAAAACGTTTTGTCTGTGAGATGAAAGGAATTGATAGGCCTGTCCAGGTTTCTGTTCCATTGCTTTATCAGATATAGCCTGTTTTATGCAAAGGCAACTTGCCAGGCTAAACTGCCCACCGATGCAGTTTACCTATGTATTTATTATATCTATATCTTTTTACCTTCATTTCTCCTGTGTGTGGATGTTTGAATGTAGATATTTCAGGAATACTCTGTATATACTTCACAGTATATTTTAAATGAAACTGCCCTTATGTATTTTATCCATATAATGTTATGCTGCCTCACTTTTAACTGGGATTTTATTGCTTTGTAATACCTACATCTTTCTTCTCTGTTTTGTTTACCTCTTTTCTGTCTGAAGCAGTCAGTTATATCTGTTAGTAAATCAGTGCTGTTTGTTATTCAAGTGCTGTTTGGCTTTTCAAGGTAGTATATTAGGATGAATTTTTGTCTTTTTTGTGTGTGTAGTCACTCCTGTTCATCTGCAGATGAGGCACGTGTGTTTCAGGGTAGTCAGAAATTTTAATTTTCACAGCTGGGTTGATATTCAGACTTCATATTCCTGCAGATGATTTATAAATGCTCTGACTTTCATTGTGTCACTACAGCATTGAAGAGCCAGCGGAATTATGTGTGGTTTAGTTTTCTGATTACATTCTGTTACCAAATGACTACTTACTCTAATAATAATTGCAACTTCTCTTGACTCCTTTCAAATCATTATGTTCCAATGTTCCTTTAACTTATGCAATTCAGTAGCTTTTTATCTGCTATATCTTGCAGTATATCACCTATCTCCTTAGTACTAAATGTTTTCATTTTGCGTTAAAATACTTCTTAAAATTAGTGACAGTGTAAAGATAAATTACTTTTCAGTTTTAAAGTACAGTAAAGCCTTTCCTGACATCAACAAGCAGTATAATAGCCAGACAAATATTCCAACCAGCAGATATGTATACTAAGATATTTTGTTGTTTATCACCCAGTTCCTCTACTTTCTTTATGGTTTGGAGTAATTGACTTTGGCATCTCTTTTTCTGCTTTTAAAATACAGAAAAAATTCTGATCCACTTTTAGAGCACTTGTGAGTTCTATGAATACCAGCTTCTTAAGTGCCTAATGATGTTATTTAAATAGAATGATAATATCATGATTGGTAGTGATTACTAAAACAGTTTTAAAAATGAACAGTAAAAATAGCTTTCAATTGGTACATTTCTGATTTATTATTTTATTAGTTAGCATTGATAGACTGTAGACTCAGATTTATGGTGTAATTTCAATTTAAGTACTCATTATGGCCTACTCTATTTCATGTAAATGCGTAGCTTTGTAAGAAAAAAAAAGTTCCTCTTTTATTTTTATTAAAAATCTATGTATAATAGCACACAATTGCTGTAACATTTACGTCTATTGTCTGTCATAAGGAATATCCTTACAGTTTGAGGAGAAAAAAACTTCACTGCTTCTGAAGTTTTCCCTAAAATAAATCTAAGTGCTGCCACTTCTTCTTGACTTCCACCCCCCTCTCCCTTCATACAGCACAAGTGGGATGCAAAGAAAATGCTTCCTTTCATGTCAGTTCGGATGTTTTGATTGCTGCGTAACAAGCACTTTCACTAATCAAGTATAAAAATGAGATTTTTCTGAATAGTTATTTTTTCATTTCAGCACCATTCATGTGGAAGTTATTACTGGTCTTCTTATTTGATTAGTTAACTTTGTGTCACTTAGCGTTCAAATTTGGTGAATTATCCCCTGTAATCGACAATTCTTGATTTAACATCAAGAATTCTTATTTTTTTTCATCTTTACCCTGCCCTTTGATGATACTGCCTGAGGAAAGGAGTCATATAAATAGCTCCTGTATCTAAAGACACAAAGACTGCTTTATTTTTATTTATTTATTTTTTTTCTACAGAAGTTTTGTAACTACAAGCTTAGAAGGTGCCAAAGCAGTGTAGTTTTCCTCTCGTGGCATATAACTTTGAACAGCCTTGCTTTTGAGCATCTTTTTGTCCTATCTCTTGCTTCATGAATACCATTTATATACTCCTTTCACCCATCCCAAACTGGGGAGGAGGTTTGTGTGTCATTTCGGCTACAGTGCCTAAGGGCATAAATGAATACAGAGCATAACGATATAATATTTATTTTTTGTGTGATTCACTAGGGATTTTATTAAAATCTTAATGGTAGTAGAACACTGAATGCTTTTTGTGGTTTTATGTATATACACACTTCATATCAAATTTTTTATGTGTGTGTGTATCTATATCAATATCACTATATATATCACTATATATATCACTCTCTCTCTCTCTCTCTATATATATATATATACATATATATACACACATGTATATAGTGAAGTTAACAAGGAAAAAATGTGTAACTAGATTGTAAAGCTTGGGGGGGCAATGTTACTTGCCGGCAAATTCGGAGTTATCAGCGCAGCAGAACCAGTAACAAGTCTGAACTCTTATTAGTGTGGTTGTATGTGTATAGTAGCAACATTGGTACAGCTTAAAGCAAAATTTGATTCTGCAGTAAGCAAATATCTATTTTTTTTATATATGTTTTAAGGTAGATTGGAACATGGTGCATGTTTGGTATATGTTCTAAAAACAATAGATAAAAAGACCTTAAAAGTAAGTACATATAGTTCCTATATGCTGGCATAGTGTAATTCACCATGACAGTTCAGAATACAAAGGCTGAAGTAGCAGCATATCTAGTAACGCTCCTCCAATGCTTCTTTAATTGCAACAAGAACCTTGTATGCGAGGAGCATGACATTTACCACAGCTTTCATTTGTTATCTCAATATAATGGCAATTTAGGAATGTTAATTCAAATATTTGCGCTATTTTGCCACTGTACCAACATATCAAGCTCCTTTCAGCTTTATTTACAAGAATGAGTTGAAAATGTGCATTTCCATTGCTGTAGTTATTCTTGTACATACTACATTTGCCCCTTTTCTTGACTTCTTCATTCTCTAATTTTCAAAAAATAATTTTGAAAATGCAGGAGAGTAGAAAGAAAGGAGCTTAAATATCTGTCACCATGCTATTCTTCCTTAAGAATAAGTGGTTAAGTCTAAATTCTTTTTTTTTCCTTTCCAGCACAGCAGTGTATGTTATAAAGACTAGTCAAAATTTCTGCTTGAAAACTTAGCGTTGCGATGCTTCAAAAATAATTTCCAATCTTCTCTGTTCTTTTCTTTTTGAATAGACTGGTGTATGGACCATACTTGCTAAGATTGAGAAAAATTTTTTAAAACCACTGCATGTAGGACTCAATATGTCAAAAGCACACTATGAAGCAGAAATAAAGAATAAGAGAGAAAACAGAAGAGGTTAGTTGTTTTCTTCTTAGCTTTGTTCATATTCAGAACCTTTGGAAATCCTTTGGAAACAAAGAATTGGTAACTGATGTATAGATTATATTTTTATTTAACTGTTCATGCTATTCCAGGTTTCAATTAATAATTCAGGAGTTGCTATATGTGATATTAATACTTTTCATGATTAGTCAGAAAAATCTGAACTTGTTTCTCTCTCATCACATTTGTAAACCTTATGGAATCCTGACAGAAATGTCACTTGAAGACATTCAAACCTTGTTCTGCATTTATACTTTTGATTTTAAGGTTAGTCAGGAGCATCTAAATCTCTCTGTGAATATACAGCCCTTAGGTTTCATATTGGGTGTGGAGAGGCTAACAAGAGCAGAAATAATTCACACAGCAAATAGGTACTCTCTTAAAGCCTGAAGGATTACACTGATTTTTATTTTTTTAATCTGACACACAGAATCAGATTCTGCTCAGGGTTAAGCAGATACATCCCACAGGGAATGAGAGCTATAGCTGCTTTAGGCCATTGCAGTGTATGTCTGATCCTCTGTTCCTTTGTGGTCTCCAGTATAATTAAGAGAGCCCAAGGAAATTGCTTCTGCTGCCAGAAAAGTCAGTACAGTCTTTTGCCCCTAGTCTTATCCTCTTGTGTTGTTATAAACTATATAAGTACAAGGCAGAGTGAGGGGATTTTTTCTGAAGGTAACCTGTGGATATCTTTCTAAAGGGAACCTGATTCAAAGATCGAAGCCGAAATTCCTTTAAGTGGTATATTCTTTATTGCAGCGCTGGATGCACGGGGGATCTCTCCACCTATCGTGCATACCCAAAGCAAAAAGCAGTCTTGAATTTATACAATCAATCTATCAATATTCTACAAGCACCTATACATATGCATTACCTATCCCCGCCTTCCCTCGCTTCTCATGCTAATTAGCCTTTTGGCACCTTGCGCCTGCGTAGAGCCTTCCAAGAATTGTGGGCAGGGGTCTTTGGGACGTGGGCAGGGGTCTCTGGGAGGAAGACCCCGAGTCTTCCTCACAGTGTACTTTTCACCTTTGGTCAGGAATCTGCTGAATTGGCATGTTTCTTAATTGCGAGAGCTGGTTGTTGCCAATTCTTCCGTTTGTTGTATCTTTATAATGAATTCCAATGTCCAGTTTTGAGATTTATAGTCCTTACGTTTGTTTCTCTGTCCGTCTGCCGCTTCCTTATCATGAGTTTCAGTGTCTTGTTTCGAGATATACAGTCCATGTGTGGGGATTGTCCTTGCCTCCCCAATGCCTCCCCAATACCTCCCTAATCAATCCCCCCTTTTCTTTTCCCATGCAAATTCTTTTGCATCAGCCTAACACTACTAATGTGATTAGAGAAATTTTCTTTCCCAATCATTATGATATGTACCCCTCAATACCTTACCATGCACATCTGTCAAGGAGGCTAACATGGACATTCGTTGTAACAATTTCCAATTCCAAACAAGTAATACAAAAGACAATATTAAACTTATACCAACTAATATCAATAAAACAATAATTGGGTGACTCAGTGTGTTCAAAATCCCAGTTGCAGTTGGCGACCATCCAAAAAGTGTATCCCACCAGTTGTGACTTGTGTCTCGTTTCACTCTTTGCAAAACTCTGCTTATTTCCTTTGTATCATGATGGACAGTAATTAGAGTCTTCTCTCCATTTTCCTGAATACCTTTTAAAATTCTAATCAGGTCTTGGTGTTTAACTAGTTGCTTCACTAGTGTGAGGTTCATCCCAATAGGTGTAGGTAGTAACTTATGATACATTGTGTTGTTAGACTTGATCAGCTGGTGGGATACCACTGGTGCCAAATATTGAAAATCACACCCGACGATTCTAACAAAGTTACAAATACAAAAATTAGAATGATTTTTGCTATGGAGAGTTATATTCTCCTTGTCTATTTCTACAAAATCACAAGCAGTTCTTAAACACACGCACCCTTTACCAACATATACAAGCACAGTCTTTTGACTAGTATTTGGATGAATTTCAAAGTGGCAGATACCTTGCTCCGTGTCAAAACATACGTCCTGAGCATCAATTGTATTACTTTCACAAATAAATCCTTGTTGTTCCCGGGTAACACATGATTCTAGATTTACGGACTGCCATTTCCCATTCTCCATTCGTGCCCATGTTCTATGCTCTGAAGGATAAAGCACTGTCTTCTCATGGTTTAATCCTAGTGCAAGGATTGGGTGTATAACATAAACTGTAGCATTACGTATAGTAAGCACGAAGGCAGTAGCCATGTTAACAACGGGATCATAAGTAAAATTCACCAGGGTCCACCAAGACTGGAACTTCTTCTCAAAATCATTGGCATTGTCCCAAACTGCCTTTCGGATTTCAGCTGGAAAAATGCCTTCACTTCCTTCCCTAATAATCAGGGCAGCCGTTGCCTGCAACCATAACTGTGCTTGCATACAACTAAGAGCTAAGGATACATTATCTTGAATCATACTAAGTGCATCTATTATTAGTTTGTGGTCTTGGTCTTCCGCATTTTCCCATTTCGGTAACACCTTTGAAACTTGCCATTGGCTAGTTCCCAATGCCAATAAGGATGATTGCAAGGGTTGTTTTAATTTTGTCAATTCACTTGTTGCTGTGGCTAGCTTATTCATTAATATTTCTGAATCAATTCCATTTAGAATTCCTAACCCTGTTCCTAGCATTCCAGTTAAGTCTCTTCGTGTCCTGCCCCTGAAGTGCACTTGCTTCTGTGACCATATTGTCCAGTCTTCAAATGATGTTCTTAAGAAAGGAGAACAGGCTGGTTGAACTGCTGAGATGTTGATTTGTATTAGCAACTCAACACGCTTGAGTGACCATTCTGGATTAAATAACAATTGCTGTTGGCCCGTGTTCCTTACTACATATGGGCCAGTTTCATAAATTTTGGGTTCCAGTTTGATTAGAGGTGGGGTGTGGGTTGTAGAGGGTCTCACTGTTGTAGGAAGTGCCGCATATATTGTAAAATTTAACATGAGGCCCTCACCATTATTGACTTTGGACTGTTGGCCATTATTATTATTCCAAAAACAGCTGATTTCTACATTCTCTGTTAATGTAAAATTATACCAGCAATCCAATTTACCTGGGCGAATACAACCCTCTTGTTGTCCATTTTTGGAAATCGGTTTAACCAGAATCCCCGTTGCTTTCTCGTCAGTCGTTCCATTAAACATTTGACACCCTATTTTAATTTCATCTCCTATGGTTCTTTGGTGTGTCCACCCTTCCCCTAATTTTTGCCATTCTGATGGTTTATATAAATAGTTAACATTTGTTCGCCAGATGACCATGACTGATAACCTTCCATTAAGATTCTTATCCTCTGTTGTTACGGCTTCAGTCCAAGGCCACCCACCATTCTCTATTGTCACAGAGGCACCTTCTTGAATCACAATTACAAATATAAGCCATAAAAACAAAACAATTCTCTGAACAAATCTTCTGCCAACCATATTACCAAATACTCTCAACCTTAATGTCCTCATTTTGATCGACTAAGCTTTAGTTTCAGTTCATTGTCACCTGGTGTTACTTTCCAAGGAGCTCCTGGAGCCTTCTTCACTCGGGAATAGTGGATCCAAGCAGCTTGTTCTCTAATCTTGATAGCAGTGTGAGTTGTCAGCAACACTTGATACGGTCCATTCCATTTTTCCTCTAGGGGTTGTCCTGAAAAAGTCTTTATATATACATAGTCCCCAGGCTTAAAGGGGTGGATTGGTTGATCCAGCCCTCTAGCTCTGGTCCCTAACACAAATTTATGTACTTTATTTAATTGTTTTTGAAGTTCAGTTATATAAGTATATAAATATTCTGATCCCAGCTGCGTTAGATCCTCCCCATTAAATAGAAATTGATATGGCCTTCCATATAAAATTTCAAAGGGGCTCAAATTCTCTTTTACTCTAGGTTTAACTCTAATTCTGAGTAATGCTAAAGGGAGGGATTGAGGCCATGACAAATTAGCCTCTTGTCCGATTTTAGCTATTTGTTGTTTAATTAAATGGTTCATTTTTTCTACCTGTCCACTTGCCTGTGGTCTATAAGGAGTGTGAAGATGCCAATCTATCCCTAAAGCCTGGCTTATTCGCTGAACAATCTTTGCACCAAAATGCGAGCCTCTATCTGAGGAAATGGTTGCTGGGATCCCGAATCGGGGTATTATTTCATTCAATAATGCCTTAATTACCTCCTTAGCCTTATTAGTTCTGCAAGGGAAGACCTCGGGCCATCCCGAGAAGGTATCTGTTAAAACTAATAGGTACCGATACCCCCCTTTTCTTGGTAGTTCCGAGAAATCAATTTGCCAATGCTGCCCAGGATAGTTCCCTTTATCAATGACACCAAATGTCACCCTATTTCCTGTATTGGGATTATGACGCATACAGGTGTCACATTGTTGGGTTACCTGCCTTATTGTGGTATACAGATTTCTTGCTACCAAGACTCGATTTAATAGTTTATACAGGGCATCGGCTCCCCAATGGGTTTTATTGTGTTCCCCCAAAACCATAGGCCACACCAAATTAGAGGGCATAACAACCCTGTTGTCCTTCAAATGAGCCCACCCATCAACATTCAGCTTCCCTTTTAGATCCTCGATCAACTTTAAATCTTCTTTTGAATATTTAGGAGCCTGTCCTTTCTCTAATGCCTGAATTTTACCGTCTGGTATTAAAGCAAGCACTTCCACTTGGCCTCTTTCCGCCGCCCTTCTTGCCTCTTTATCAGCCAATCTGTTCCCAATCTCAAAGTCGGTGGATCCTCTTTGATGCCCTCGGCAATGCATAATAGCCACTTTTTCTGGTTGTTTTACAGCCTCTAACAATTTTAAAATTTCTTCAGCATGTTTTATCTGTTTTCCCTGAGCAGTCAGTAATCCACGTTCTTTCCAAATCGCTCCATGAGCATGTACCACGCCGAATGCATATTTAGAATCTGTCCAAATAT